GCGGGAGCTGACGGAGAAGCAGGCGGCGACGAGCTGGGCGAGGCTGATGCCGAGGTGGATGGTGAAGTAGATGCTGACGGATCCAAGGAAGGAGAGCTAGAGGGAGGCGTACCAGACCGCGGAACAGATGACAAGGGCTGCATGGAAGGAGCTGTGTCACGTGGCCTGCATGGGAGGAACGAAACAGGAGGAGACATAGAGGCAAACCAAGTCATGGAGGTGGACTCAGCAGAATGTGGTGGAGACATAGATAAAACACCTGGGAACTTAGATTCAAGGAACAGTACATGACGAGAAAGAAACACACGACCGGACTGAGCATCGAGACAACGATAAGCGCTTTGTTGGTGGGAGTAACCAAGAAAAACACAAGGACGAGAACGAGGCTCAAGCTTGTTAGAGCTATAGGGACGCAACCAAGGGTAACAGAGACAACCAAAGACACGAAGTTAGGAGTAATTAGGAGCTTCATTGAACAGGACAGTGAAAGGTATCTGACCACGAAGTGACGATGATGGTAGACGGTTAATAAGATAGACAGCTGTAGTGAAGGCATACGACCAATAAGACAACGGAAGATTAGCTTGATGGAGCAGAGTAATACCGGTTTCAACGATATGGCGATGTTTGCGTTCGGAGAGCCCGTTATGCTCAGGGGTATACGGAGGGGTGAGTAGATGCGTAATACCATGAGCCAAGAGATCAGATTTCAGTTTTTGAAACTCACCCCCACCATCGGTATAGAATCTGCGAATAGAGGTCTGGAAGTAGTTTTCGACTAGCTTTTTAAAATCAAGAAAGACCGACAAAACATCAGATTTGAATTTAAGAGGGTAAATCCAAGTATAGCGAGTAAAATGATCAACAATAACAAGATAATAAGAGTAGCCATCGACAGAACATACTGGAGCAGGACCCCAAACATCGGAAAACAAAAGATCAAAGGGACGACTACTAGACAGACTGGAATCCCCAAAAGGAAGTTTATGACTCTTATTAGACAAACACGAGTTACAATGAGAGACCGAACGACCCGTGTGAGGGAGAGAATGAACTCGAAGAAGACGCAGCAAGGACTTGGAAGACGGATGACCTAAACGACGATGCCAAGAATCAGGAGAGTGGCGAGTGGTGACAAGGGCAACGCGAACAGCTCCAGAACCACCAGGAATTTCATAAGTATCACCTTTGTTCCTTCCGGTCAGCAGGGACGCCCCCGTTCTTAGATCCTTCACATGAAACGAATCAGCAAAAAATTCAACAGACACAGGATTAGTACGACATAGTTTAGCAACAGATATCAGTCGTTGCTTAATAGACGGAACACATAGCACATCGCGTAGACTGAGACAGTGATTAGTAGCAGGAAGAGAAGAAGAACCGATATGAGTGATCCGCAAACCTGAACCATCACCAAGGTAAATTTCATCGGGGCCATTATAATCAGAGTAAAGCGACAAGTTGCCAAGATTGTTTGTCACATGATGAGTGGCCACGGAGTCCATGAGCCAAGGGCCTGGAGACGAAGGAGGAGGAGACGAGGGAGGATGTTGCGTATAGTTAGCCTGCGGTGGTCTCTTGTGAGGGAAGAGCTGAAAACAGGTTTTGGCGCTATGCCCGGGCTTGTCACAGTATTGACAATAGACACGAGGACGACCGCGAGAAGATTCATCATCACCGCGAACAGAGAAGGAGTCCCAAGAAGGCTGGGAAGCAGACGAGGATGAGGTGGCGGGACTTGGATGGGAGAGCAAGCCACGACCAGCGCCCCGACCAGCAGTACCACCGCGACGCCCGCGCCCACGGCCACGTTGAGAAGTAAAGGCGGTGGCAGGGGACTCAAGAGACGGACGAGTAGCCCGGAGATCAGCTTCTAGAGCTTGGAGCTGATCAACCAAATCCTCGAGCTTTGGAGGGACATCACGAGCCCTAATCCCAGCAGAAAATTCAGCATAGTCGGAGCCAAGACCACGCAAACAAACTGTGACAAGTTCTTCGTCACGAATAACTTCGCCAGCGAGAGCAAGTTCAGAGGCACGGGAGCGAAGGGCTTGAATATATGTAGCCACATCGCGATCGCCTTTCTTCTCAGCAAGAAGCCGATCACGGAGAGTCATCACTCGAGAGTAGGAAGTTCCGGCATAGAGATTCTGAAGAGTAGTCCAGGCCGCGCGAGACGTCTCCGAGACGAGATAAAGGAACAGATTTCAGCGGTAACAGAGGCAAATATGCCATTGAGTAGGAGCTTGTCCTGGCGAAACCAGTGAGTGTAGGCTGGGTTTCGCTGGGGAACATTGTTCACAAGAAGATTCTCCGCCGGTGGAGGAGTGGAGCCATCAAAGTAGCCGACGAGATCGAGACCATAGAGCAAGGAAAAGAGCTGCGCACGCCAAGCCGGGAAGTTTGTTGAGGTGAGTTTGAGTGGCAACGAAGCAGCTGGATTGAACGTGACCAGCTGCGGTGGATCAACGGCGGCGGTAGGCGTAGCAGACGTGGTTGACGACTTGTCGCTCATGTCGACGAAGACAGGCTGAAGACAAGAAGAAAATTAGCTAGGGTATGGAAACGCCTGCTCTGATACCATGTAAGGTATGAACCGTGTGTTGTATTGCATTAACAAGGGGTATATATATACCCAAGGATTACAGCACGTACAATTGTAGAATACTACTAGGACTAGGAGAATGAACAATGATTAATACAAGGACAAGGACTACTACAAGGGAAACTAGAACTAGAACTAGGAATTCTTCCTTATACCTAGTATGTAACGATTCAATAAGCCACTTAAGTTAAGGCTACCACGGTAATTTCGGCCCTTAAACACCCCGCCATACCCGCATTCGTGTTCGTCTCTCACGAGTCACGATAAACCCTTCTTCCCCTCCAAGCAAACACTTCTGACTTCCCCCTTCAGAACCCCCAAACGGCCATACACCTCTCTTCTACTTCTCTCAGCTCCTCAATCTCGCGGCAGTTCAGTTTAATCTCCGGTTTCTTTCAACCATCTCGTTCGGCCTTTTCGTCAATCAATCACTATGCTGTTGTCTAGGGTTTTGTCACGCGTCTCCGGGAACGCTGGCGCCCGACGCTCCCTGCTTCTTCTCTCCTCTGCCTCCACCAAACAGCAACAGATTCCAGTAATCTGCAATGGAGTTCAGCCTCTTATTCATCAGGGTCTCGAGCATGTGAGTAGCGTAGACGATAACTTCCCCCCTTTCTTTAGTTGAATTTTTGGCTTCGGGGTGTTGCTAGGGTTTAAGAACCTCGTCTGAATTACTGGTCGGATTTTGCTTAACTGAATAATTGTTCCTAGTTTCGATTGTAATTTTGAATTGCGTTTGTTTTATTTTAGCTCTCAACTTCATTCCTTGAGCGCCATTCATGTGCTATTTCTCTTTCAATAGTGGGTGGCTGGTGGGCCGGTGGTAATGGTTTCAGGAGCGGACTTTTGGTTTTGAGGTTTAAATTTGAGGCTCGGACCTTCTGGCATTAATAAAGGATCTGTGTATAGAAACTGTTTTGGCTTGTGTTTTATTTAGTGAAGGTTTCGTGTTCTATGTTTCCTGTCAAAAAAGTGGTCTACAATGAAGACATCGATCTAAAGGACGTAGTTTATGCTGTCCCCTTGATAGTGATATGATGTCTTGTAGCAAGTAATGCCAGGTGCCCAGGTTTTGGGTTGTTACTATTCCTGTTTGGTGATGTAGTTCTTGAGTTTTGTTCGCCTTCTTTATCAGTGTGAAGCTACTGTACAATTGTTAAAGTAGATGACAAGTGACTTTCCAAACGAGATATTTAGATCCTGTAGCATTAGGATTCTGCTAGGTGAAATCAATGTATTTGGCTCAATTTTGAATTATAATCATGTTCAATTTCAGATAGAAATTTGAATTGGATTACCTTGATAAAATCCTATCTATGTCTGGCTTATTTTTGTTTGGTGTAACTCAGGTGTCCGGGTTTCATCAATCAGCCTCTAATTCTTTTCCCTTTGGGAAGTTTGGATTTGCTTCATCTGCGTCGCCCGAGCCAACAGAAAAGGAACAAGGTGCTACAGAGAGCAATGGTCAAGGGAAAATCAACGGAGATGCGGACTCAGGTACCCATTCTGGAGATTCAGGAGAGATCAAAGAGCCAGGTTCTTATCCAGAATCTCAAGCAACTGAGCCTGTGCGTGATAAAAGGAGAAGGGGTAGTACTAATCGAACTGCATTTTCTGATTCAGATTCGGACGAGGATGCTGCTGATCTCTCCAGAGATGACTTGGTGAAGCTTGTTATTGAGAAGGATGAACTTTTGAAGTCGAAGCAGGAAGAATTCCAGACGATGAAAGATAAGTTTCTCCGTGCCTTGGCAGAGAATGAGAATGTCATGGAAAGGACTAAACGTGAAGCGGAGAACTCTAAAAAATTTGCCATTCAGGTCTTTTTTTTTTTAAATTCAAATACATAGTTCTTTTCCCGTCTTTGGTTTGCGCATTTTGATCAATCTTTGTGTGTATGTATCTGTAGAATTTCGCGAAAGGTCTGTTGGATGTTGCGGATAATTTGGGAAGGGCTTCTTCAGTGTTCAAAGAGAGTTTTGCCAAGATTGATACATCTAAAGATAGTGCTGGAGTCGTGCCACTTGTGAAGTCACTTTCAGAAGGAGTTGATATGACGGAGAAACAACTTGGGGAGGTATGATCTGTACTTCCTTGGAACATCATATGGCTCTCTGATTGATGTTTGTTTATCTTTGATTGTTGACATTTTATTTTGTTCTTCTCTACGAATGACAGGTATTTAAGAAGTTTGGTCTGGAAAGATTTGATCCAACAAATGAGCCTTTTGATCCACATAGGCATAATGCTATGTTTCAAGTACCAGATGCTTCTAAACCTCCAGGCACAGTTGCTCACGTTCTGAAGGTACTACAATAACTCAAACTAGTTGCTATGCTATTATTAAATTGATAACCAGCAATACAATTTCAACAATTTCTCACTTAAAACATTGTGGGAGTAAATGTGTTCATTTGTATAATTGATATGGCTGCATCTTGCTTGCATATGTTCTCTTTGATCAGGGACTCAGGTTTGTATAAATAGTAACGGTGTGGTTATTATGCAAGAGCTATGATAACTGAGAAGTGTGCAAACAGTTTGCTGATGCTCAAGGACCTAATTAGCTTTTACTAAGGAGGTGCAGTAAAACTGTTGGCATATTTAGTTTTGGATACTACGGCGAGGATGAATTCTCAGCTTGTTCGATGTCCAAAATGAGTGTTGGCATCTTAATGGGACTTGATGGGTTGATTTTTTTTTTTAATGGAGTGAATTCTAACGTTCTTTTTTGTAACTTTGACTGCTTCCTCCTGATGTGCATGTAGTTTCCTTGCATGAGTGACATGTGCTAAGTCGTCTCTAATTTAGGAGTCATTATAGGACCACCTTTTTCTGCAGAACTGAGTTTCTGAGTTTCTTATCTTTTGTATTCTGAAATGCAGCCAGGATACATGCTCCATGAACGAGTGATTCGACCAGCAGATGTCGGTGTTACTCAAACAGCAGAGGCCGACTCTTAGGAGAACTGATTCAATTGTTATGATAAAAAGAGGCACACTCTTGGGAGAAATCCTTCTTGTCATCCGGTGTTCTACATCACTTCAGGCATTCACGTGTCTGTTTCATTTATCTGGGATAATTTATAGGATGCTCGAAAGCTATGATGAGAAGATACTTCTCACGGTGACCGGAAATGTTGTAGATTTCAGGGGTTGTTGGTTATGTGCTTCCTTCCCCAATATGCTGAAGAGAAATTCATTTTGTTCTTTCCCTCCCCATCTAGTCGCTAATCAAACACGATAGCATTAGCATATACACAAAGTCGTCTCTAGAAAATTACTAATTGACACCAGAAACGGCATTTTTTTCCTCTTCTACTGAATTGTAACTCGTTGTTTTACGAGCATAATGGGGGTATGGCTGAGGTCGTATACAATAAGCAAGAATTGGCTTCGTCCTTTTGCAGCAACAGGGTTTGCACATTCGGTTCTAGATCAACCAGGGCTGCTATCATGTTAGCCATGCTGCTGTTGATGTGCCACAAGTCTGGTATACAGTTGAAACTTGGAAACTAAGATTATGCGCACCCACTACGATACTTACATAGGGATCAGTGAATGTATGTCTGGAGACCTTGGACGGATACATACTAACACCAAACAACATAGACAATGACGAACTACAACCGGTTTCTGCCTAGGCAGGTTGGTAACACAGAACTACAAGCCATATACAATACGATACAATCATGGGTCTCTGAGTCTTCTCCTACTGATGAGACTATTACTACTGCTACTTGCCATAATTGATCCCTCACTACCTTCTGAAATGGCATCCCCAGCTTCCTGGTGCTTAACCAAACGCCCATGCCCTGCTTGAATTCGCTTCCTCCTTGTGCTGGTTGGGGGACTCATTGTTCTCATTGTCTTCGCCTTTCAGGCACAGCCCCAGGTCTAGCGTACCACCATTGTCCGGATCCTGAAAAGCAGAAAAGTGGGAAACCAGAAAAAATCAACCTCTAGGCAAGTGTGGAAAGGATTTTCATATCAGAGAATAGCAGATGCTTGACCGTTGCATCATGCATGCATGTATCCTCAGGAGTGATTCACTCTACATTGTTGCTGTTCTATGCAACAAACCTAAGTTGACGAGATATTGATCAAGCTTAATAGATTGTCAGATTCCCAAGAAGTAATGCACGAACTTCACCAAATGTTTCCTCTGGTTTTAATCAAACCAGTTGCAAAGAGAGAAGTCGATGAAATTGACCCCAAGTCAAGGTGAAAGTTATGTTCCAAGCTGTAAATTGCCAACTATCTCACATCTTCCACTCATCATGCCTACATGCAACCCTAGCATATAACAGTTTGGACAAAACCAGCGCAATTACTTGCATTTTGCAGAGCATGCAGCTGATCTCTACTGTTCACTATAACAAAAACCTAAGCTGACCGATTCAAAGCAGTAGGATTTGGCTCCTGACTCCTAGTCATTTCACAGGACAGAGGAATACAAAACTGGAAATACATGAGCTTCCCACTAAGTATAATCTGTTTAGTTATCACAATCCCAGTTCACCAAATGATAATTGCATCTCATTGCCCCTCTCTTGATCTTTTTTCTTCTTCTTCCATATCATCCATGTAGTTGGTCTTGACTCTTGTCACAAAAGCAAACATTTTGCAACCAGTACGACTAAGGAGATGTCAAAGCAAGAAAGAAACAAGGGGAGAAGCCAAAATACCAGTCAAAATCAAGGCGGAAAAACTAGCCCACCCCATCCCACCAATACAAAGGGTTTAGTGAAGTGATACCTGTGTCTCTTCCTTCATAGTCTCATCATCATCCTCCGGCTCGTCATCCTCGGAAGCCTTGGATTCAGTAATCTGATCTTCTTTGACTTCAACATCAACGCTCTTCGCTGCCTTAGTCCTCTCCTCCAGCGCTGCAATCTACAATACCACCAAAAAAAAATCATAATCCACATCCAATTGGCTTACAGCTGAAGCAACCCCATCTGCAGCAGCTGAATTGAAACCCTAGAAGCACCAAAATTCGATAGAAAAGAAGAACCAAACAGCGGAGAAGTATAACAAGAAGCAGAAAGCAAGGCCAATAACAGAAGGTTGAAGAAACAGTGCCATACTCACCGGAGTGTAGCGGATTCTCCGCTTTGGAGGCTCGTCCGCGGCGGAAGAATCATCGCCTGCGCCTCCTCCGGCGGCGAGAGGGGTCCATCGACATAGCAAGAGGCGAGAGCTCTCGCTATTGCTGCTGTTGCTCAGCGCGGCGCTGTGGAGGTGATGGCCGTTGGAGTGAGCGCGCGAGCTGTTATTATTAGCGGCCGGAGGTGGAGAAACGTGGACCCACTTCTTCTTCCACTTCCTCACCGGACCGTTGAACACGTTCGCCGTAGCTGACGGGCCGTACCGAGACGACGCGCGGCCGAGCCGAGACCCCACGCCTTCCATTCTTTCCCCTTTTTGGGTTCTTCTTTCCCTCGCCTCGACTGAAAACCCTAGTGAGGGCTAACGAAAGAGAGAGCTCCGGCTACGATTTAACGAGCGGAGAACTGGGCTCCGTGCAGTCTGCGTTCCTTGGCTGTGACAGTGATAGACAGCAAGTAAAAGAGTCGGAGACGGAGAGTGCGACTGACAACTGACAAGAGGACTATCAGTAAGTGGAAACAGTTAGGGCTGGTCGGAGTTTAGTCATTTTAATCGTCGGGTGAATTACACGATTGGTCACCCAAATTATATAAATATTTCATGTTTGCCACTTGAATTACAAACCTTGTTTATTGGTCACTCACTTTACGAAACATTTCACCGTTGCCACTGGACGTCAGCCTCCGTCAGACTCCGTTAACAGCGTCAGATTTTTGATGACGTGGCAAACGGAAAATCTGACTGGGCCGACAGAAAGGCTGAATAATTTCGTAAAGTAGGTGCTGACATGGAATGGGCGGGAAAAAATTATTTCCCCCCATTTTCTCTGTCATTTTGAATGAGATTTACATATTTAAATGGTTTTTCCTCCAAAAGACTCTTCCCATCTCCATTTTCCTTCTGCCTGCTTCTCTATCTTCTTCTAGCTTCCATTTTCCTTCAACGTCCTTCTCTATCTTTTTCCTTGTCCTTCTCTATCTTCTTCCTCGTCTTCTTCAACACAAAGTGCTATTTGGAGACTGTCGATCTGAGCCATGGCTACTCCATGTTGTCACTGTAGGTACCCAACTGATTTGAGGACTAGCTGGACCGATGCCAATCCTGGACGGAGATTCTATGGATGTAGCAAGTTTGGGGTAAGACCATCTGATTCTCCTTTCTTTTTGTGTTTTAGAATCTGACCATTCTGACGATTCTCATTGTGTTTTGTTATGAAGACGAACAAAGCATGCAATTATTTTCGATGGTATGACCCAGCTCTTGATGAGCATATGAGATGCATTGTTCAGAATTTCCATCGTCGTATAAGAGAGTTAGAGAGAAGACAACCGAGGGGAGCATACAAAATAAGCTTCAAAATGGCTTCCATCCTCACTGTTGTATTCCTTGTTGTTGTTTTCATTCTGCTGGAAAAGTAGCAATGTGTGTTAGAAGAAGAATATGATGTTTCATTGGTATCACTAGAATAGTATTTTTCTTTCATCTGTACTACTAGAATGTTGTTTTCCTTTCATCTGTACCACTGTAATATTGTTTTTCTTTTCACCAAGGCCACTCCAATTTTGTTTTCCTTTCATCTGTACCACTGTAATATTGTTTTTCTTTTCACCAAGGCCACTCCAACGTTATTTTCTTTTCATATGTGTCACTGCAATGTCATTTTCCTTTATTTTGTACCACCTTGATCAGACCATAACCTGACACCATAGATTGGAAACAAAAGCCATTCATCTTTACTAAACATCTACAACTGAGCTACTCAAAAGAGCCATTCATCTTTACTAAACAACTGTGAAAGTATTACAACTGAGCTACTCAAAATAGCCATTCATCTTCACTGAACACCTGGGAAAGTTTGACAACTAAGCTACTCAAAAGAGCCATTCATAATGAGGGCTGGCATTCTGTGCTTCTACTTGTTCAGTTACATAGCAACTCAAGATATGAGTTCAACAACCTGTTTTACAACTAAGATTTTCACCAGAACCAGAAATACCTTCAAAATAGCCAATCTACCTAACCGAACTAAGCAATACAAGGGAGATGAATGACTTCAAAAGTAGAATAGCCCACAACTACTCTTCACAGATTCTCCATTTGCGAGCCTTGGCTTGGTGGCTGGGACACGTGACTTGATGGCCTCCTTGAACTTCCCTGCAAAGTTCATGTATGTGAGTATGTTTCTAAAGGATGTTCAAAATAAGAAAAGTAATACAAAATTATAAAGTTATACATCTGGCATCAATTGGACGACTTGTGGCTGACTCGGTGATTGTGTTGCACCCTTAGATGCCTTTGCTTGCAGCTTCTTCAATGCTGTTAGCCTGTTTCTTTCAGCTCTTTCACGCTGCCTCTTCAGTTCTGCTTCTTTCTTTTCCTTCTGTTTTGCTTCTTCCCTCTTTTTCCTTGCCAAATCCTTTGCCTCTCGGTCCTTATGAAAGGTCTTGTTGTGCCCAACCTCACCACAAGAATTACACTTATACTGCTTCTTTGCAGGCTTTGCAGCTTCTCTTTCAGGTTGCTTCTGCCTTTTCCTACTTCTTTCATTTTCTCCAGCTTCCTTTCTTCTTGCTTTCTTTGGTCTACCTCTCTTAGTGGATTCACGAAGAGCAGGAACCCCAACCTCTCCAAGTTCTGACACAGGCCAATACTCTTTGCCAGCTGTTGGTGATATGGAATGCTCATAAATTCTAGTGGCTGTTTCTTTTCTGTAACAATCAGCCACGAAGTCGTATACCCTAAGCTTTGCCCTGCCAATTGCTTGAATGGCGTGTTCACGTGGAATACCTGTCAACTCCCACCTTCTACAAGTACATGTCTTGTTTCTCAAATTAACCACAACTTGTTTGTTGTACCACCTCACCTCAAACTCCCCATTTCCGTTTGATTCAGCCCCCCACTTAAGAGCTTCTTGTTTCAATTTTTGAAGCTTTGTCTCAATACAGCTCGATAATCCTAGGAGGTTGATTAGCTGTTGATGCCATCTCCATCAAGTCTTCATCTTTAGTAATCTCCATCATTGTTTCTTCTAATGGAGCTTTCCAAAAAAAAATTTGGATTTGTCTGCTTCCCACCACACTCCTTATAGATATCCGGAAAGTCGAGGACAGACAACTTATCAACATCAGCATAATCATAGTAAACCAGAGAGTTATCCTTTATAAATTTCTTCCCACCCTTCTTTTCGATTTCATAGTCCAAGTGTACTTCAAAGCTAAATTCACCACTAAATTTACCTGTTTGAATAAAAAGAATCCAAAGAAAGGTATTAGAAAAGGATACATGTTAGCTACTGCATATATCATGCATATATCAACCAACAGTAGTACGTACTAGTAATAAAGAGACTACACCAACCCATCAGCTAAACAGCAAATGCAATGAAGACAAAATGAATGCTTATTCTATTCAAAAGCCATCCACATGTTGTTTTCAACCTAATAAACAATGATGCAACTGGCATTACTCCATAAAGACAAGAACCTCACCATATTTGGGGATAGGAGCATTCGGTTGTCGCACATGTCCCACCATATTGCTTCACAAACGAGACCAGCAACCTGGAAAATGACAAGATACAGTGAAAATCGAATAAAGAGATGGCGACTTTTCCCCTTTTCCCTTTTCCCTTTCGTCCATATCGAATCCCTTTCCCAATGCTAAAGGAAGACGAAAAATGACACTATCACCTTTGGTTTTCTGCTTTCTTGCCGCCAGAACACCACAGATGCAAGTTGGAGTAGCGAATCGGGAGATTGTTCTTCAGGTCGCGATTCTAGGGTTTCTGTCCTTCTCATCACAATGCAAGAACGAGTAGTATAAGAAGAAGGAAGGAAGGAAGGAAAGAAGGAAGACGATGAAGATTGGGCTTTTTTGCTCCTCACCTGTACCTCCCCTGTATGCTCTCCTGCCGGCCGACTCTCCCCTGCACGCTCTGCTGGAGTGAAGAAAGGGAGGAAGAAGGAAAACACGACAAGAGGAAAGAAGAAGGGGAATTGGGTTCTTCAAAGTAAAAAAAAAAGAATAATTAAAGCAAAGTAAAAATAAAAAAAATAAAAAATGACGGGCTCCGTCCTTTTCCGGGTCGGGTGCTTTGCTGGCTCGGGTATTCAGGCTGATTCAGCCTTTCTGTCGACCCAGTCAGATTTTCCGTTTGCCACGTCATCAAAAATCTAACGCCGTTAACGGAGTCTGACGGAGGCTGACGGCTAGTGGCTAAGGTGAAATGTTTCATAAAGTGAGTGACCAATAAGCAAGGTTTGTAATTCGGGTGGCAAACGTGAAATATTTATGTAATTTGGGTGACCAATCGTGTAATTCATCCTTTAATCATCCGATTCATGCACTATAGTTTGGGAAATATTTTTTTTCACACCTACCCGAAAATTTTAAATCCTAATATTTGTTTCTAATTGGGTTAGGTCGAGTTGGCGATATTTTTAAGTAAAAATTCAACTCAACACAAAATATGTAATTATTTTACATCATAAAAAATATTTTATAACTAATTAAAATTTCAAACGAATAAACCGAGGTGAAAGATATCAAAATTCACAAATATTATTTGAATTTTAATAAAATGTGATTTACTTCAAAATATGTCTAGTTTTTTTCACGACATTTGTTGAAATAAGCTAAAAAGGTTATAAACAAATGCATCCATAATATGTTATTCTATTAGAATTGTACACAAGAAAAAAGATGACGTGAATCATAACTATATTACATTTATGTCTAAACTTTAAGTCGAAAAATGCATTAGATTAGAGAGACCACGAGAGAAAAACATGGCGAAATATCTTAAATTTCTCACAAGTATGACTATATACGACATAAAGGTTTTTTGGATACGAACTCATACCAATAGTTGAAACACGGGTAGGGTCGGGTTCTATGGTTGTGTAATCCAAAATCCAAACACAATCCAAAAGAAGCTGATTATACAAATGAAAACCCCTCACTCAGCCCAATACCTTCATTTTAGCGATAAATACGGGTGGGTTGGGTCGGATTGGACGGGTGGATCAGTTTGCGGGTGTGTTTGTTCACCCCTAGAACACAGCAAGTAAAGAAACTAGGGCTGCAAATGAGTCGAGCAATTCGCGAGCGGCTCAACATTCGACTCGAGAAAAGCTCATTCGAAATTCGGCTCGTTAATAAACGAGTCGAACATGAGCTAAGCTTTGTTCAGCTTGTGAAGCTCGCGAACTATGATAGGGTATTTTATGCTAAAACTGTGGTTTAACCATGGTTCAACCGTATTATACCGCTAAATACCGCCTACCGATTTTACTTCCGGTAGGAGGTTTTTTGGCCGAACCACCGGTATGGTACAGTATTTTAATCCTTGGTCTCAACATGTGGTTGGAGACCCAACTCAATTACCGACTTATGAAAGAATCAGTCTATATCTTATGATTTTAATTCATATAGTTGTTAAATTATATATCTCACCATATATAAAGTTTAACACGTTGAATATGTAAGCTAATATATCTTATTTTCTACTTTAAAAAGAAATTATGTATCACAGATTGATTCGATACTATGAAATAACATGATTTGGAGTAGTTAAAATTTAGGAATTTGCTACGGTGACATGCACTTTTCGGTCGACCTCATATAGGATTAGGTCGACCTAATCTGTTGTTTCAATGTAAAAACAATTTTATGGTGTCTACTGACTACTATGGAATTCATATCTTACAATTGGCTAGGTGGAAATTGGAGATTAATGGCTTGTTTTGAAGCTGAAGTGTCCCTCTACACATTAAAGTACTTGCGAGCTCGATAGGAAGTCCAGAATACCATTTTTGAACCTGATCAAAAGGCTATGCCAAAACTGGAAAACTGCCTGAAAATGGCTAAGTCTGGGAACGTGTTTGTGAAGCATACTTTGGAGTTCAATTTGAGAAACATGGATGCTAGTCGAGTCCAAAGGCCTATACCACGTTAAATTAGGTATTTTAGTCTACAAAGGAAAGAAATTGGATGAAAGATTAGATATATTTAAGGATTCAAACAAAAGGCTCGAAGTTGCTACAAAGGCTGGTTTTCTGGCAGCTTGCTTGTGCTCGAAGTCTGCCAGAAAAACAGCCTTCGTAGCAACTTCGACCCTTTTGTTTGAAGCCTTACATATATCCAATCTTTTCTCCAATGCCTTGAATTTTTATAAAAACATACCTAATTTAACGTGGTAGAGGCCCCTGGACTCGAATCGCATTCATGCTTCTCAAATTGAGCTCCAATGTAGGCTTCACAAACATGTTTCCAGACTTGGCCATTTTCAGGCAGTTTTCTAGTTTTCGCATAGTCTTTTGATCAGGTTGAAAAATGATCTTCTGAACTTCCTATCGAGCTCTCAATCACTTCAATATGTAGAGGAACACTCCATCTTCAAAAACAAGCCATTAATCGTCAATTTCCATCTAGCCAATTGTATATATGAATCTCCAAAGTATGCACCATGAAACTGTTTTTACACTGAAACAACATATTAGGTCGACCTAATCCTAATGAGGTCGACCTAATCGTAAATGAGGTCGACCTGATCCTAATGAGGTCGACCTAATTCTAACTGAGGTCGACCGAAAAGTGCAAGTCACCGTGACATGCATGTCACCGTAGGTGCACCCTAAAATTTATTAACTAAATGATATATGATACCAACAAAGTATAATATGAGATTAGCTAACTTGCTTGCTGAAGCGGGGTCTTTATGGGTCACCTGGATACAGAAATACATAATTAAAGGAAGGGACATTTGGACACTCTCTGCAAGCTCTGTAAGCTCGTGGGTGTGGAAGAAAATACTTAAGTGTAGAGTGCATGCTTAGTCTCACATCACGGGGACATGCAACACTCTTGCTTGGGATGGAACTGTCTTGAAAAATACTATGTTAAGATGATTTGGTCCTCCATCCGAGACCCCTCTCCTCTGTTGATTGGTGTTCTATATTGTGGAGAAAGCCTTTTATGCGAAAGCATAGTCTCCTGTTGTGGTTGATTATACTTGATAGAGTTGTTACGAAAGATAAGCTACAAAGTTGGGGATTAGCTTGTGATTGCTGTTGTGTTCTTTGTCCTAGTGGGTTTGAAAGTCGTGATCATCTATTCACTGCGTGTTCTTACCGCACTGTGGTTTTCCAGTCTGTGCTTAAGAAGGTCTGCAGGTGGCCCTCTTTCCAGGATTGGCATTCCCAGTTGAGTTGGGTGATGCAGAAATGGTCTGGTACGAGCTTGAAGGCTAAAGTTGGCAGGTTGCTGTGGACGATGAGTTGTGCATATATATGGTGAGAATGATGTACTCGCATATATGGTGCCAGGAGAGTTTCTGATCCCATTCAAATCTCAGCGAAAGTAGTGCAAGATCTCCAAATATTCTCAAGTAGTACGATTTCTCTACAATAGATGGTTATTGAAGTTTGAGAGTATAGAGATTTTGAATTTCTACTTTGATTTCTTGTTAGTATAGAATTTTATTACAATTGTAATGGGTTGACATTTTGAGATGGACGATGCGAGTTGTACCTCTTCGGGCTTCAATACAATTTTGATTAACAAAAAAAAAATGAGATTAGCTAACTAAATAAATCATATGTATCCTGATATACAAAATGAAGTACCAAATAAAAGTCAAGATTTTAGTAAACAAGCTAGCTTGAGCTCGACTCGACTCTTTAATAAACAAGCAGAGCTCGAGCTTGACTCGTTTATTAATGAGCCGAACTCAATCTGGGTTAAAACTCGACTCGACTCGACTCGACTCATTTCCATACCTAAAAGAAAGGGCAAAAAGCTCTCTTTTATACGCATATTTTCTTAGTATTACTAAATGAATCCTTATATTTCAAGTTTTGATCAATTGCATCCCTAATTTTGTATCTTTGCGGCTGTTTTCGCGGAATCAAAGATCTGTTCATTTTGATTAATAACCCGGGAAACGTCCGCCTAACGCCCGTCGTTTCGAAGCCAAACGCAGCGTTGTCCGCCCCAAACGCAGCGTTAAGAGAAGATAATTTTCGAATTTCTGATAATTGTATTTTTCTTTTCTTTTTGAACCTCTTCACTCTTCAGCTTTCGCCATATCCATTTCCGTGTCATTTGCAGTCTTGCAGATAGAAGGAGAGCAGCCATGGAGCTCTGTATCAGTTCGACGACGACGACGAGACTTCTACCTGCAAGCCGTCCGTGCGGAGAATTTCGCTTCTACAGTTCTCCATCTGCTTCACTCCGGCTTCCTTTTCTCCAGCTGAATAAGAGAAGTAATTGCTTCTTAAACTATCGGGAACCGTCCTACAGTTTCCGAGAAATTCAGTCTGGGTTAAGGCAATGCCCATGGAAACTTGCTGCTGCTGCTTCTACTTCCGTAGCAGTTGAAGAAGAGAAGGACACTCTCCCTGCCGAGCTCAGAGTGACGGAGACCGAGGAGCCTAATTCAAGAGTGAGTAATTGAGCTCGTGGCTTTCGTTTTCTTCTTCTTCTTATGCGGCTGTGATTACGCTCGAGTTTTGTTAATTTGATTCTCTCTGGATGAATAGGTGAGGTTGGGCGTGGAAGTTCCGCCAGAAGTTTGCGAGGATTGCTACAAGAGAGTCATCAGGGAGTTCATGAAGCAGGCGAAGGTGGGTGGTTCTTTCTTCCCCGTTGCGGTTCGTGTAGAATTATTCTGGCACTGACGAATTCGATTCCTGGATGAACTAGGTGCCAGGGTTTCGTCCTGGAAAGAATGTTCCGGAGGGTGTTCTTGTGAATTACGTCGGCAGGCTAAGTGTTCAGAAGGCTGCTGTTGAGTCTATCTTGCAGAGGACTCTCCCTCATGCACTGGCTTCGGTATTGATTTCATCACTTATGGCTTCTTCACACTTGTAAGTTGATGATTCTATACGAATGACGGGCATTCCTGTTGTTTTGACCTGGGAATTCCCTTTTACCTTTTTTCTGAATTAGGTGAATGAAAGGGCTTTGAAAGATTCAGTTCGCATTGCGACCAATTACTCTGAGATGGAGAAGACTTATTCATCTCTTAACATCCTTAGGTTTGTCTCAGTTGTACCTTCGAAGTTGCATTGATGCATTCCCCATCCACGTGCAGTTTAAGCTTGTGTTCATCATAGTCACTAGTAAAGTCTAGATTGCAATTGTGTGAGTGGTGACTAGAAGTTAAATTTTTTGCGCAGATATGATATCATTGTTGATGTGGCCCCTGAACTCAAATGGGTCCCTGAGGATGGATACAAACAATTGAAGGTTGTTGTGGAGATAGACAGTGATATAGATGCACAGGTAGCTTCTGAACAGGAATTTAGACGTCGTCACAAGTCCCTTGGTGCTATGAGAATTGTAACTGACAGAGGACTGCAGGTAAGCGTTTGGGAATCTGTGTTCTCTATTTCTTTCCTCTGGGTCTTTAGGTTGAAGTCCTTTTGTTCGTTTATTGCTGGACAAGATGTCCATTTTGTGGTGTTTCCAGTTGGCGAAAATTTATTTATCTCCCTCCGTGAAGTCGTGATAGCCTGATAGGCCTCCAAATTTAATGCAATAGGAAATAATTTCTATTATGAAATGTAGTTCTTGTGAAACAACTTTCTGCAGTTTTGCAATATTTGATCTTCTACTATATGTGATTAGTTGAATTTCTGCACCTCCTGTATGTTTATTATACGTGCATCAAAAGATTTATCTATTAGCTGTTGTAACCAATGATTGTATCTAATTGAGGATTAGGGCTTGCTTTTCATACCTGTTTATCACTACTTACTATAGATGACGCAACTTTTGGAACTTGGAGGAATGCGAACTTGAAATGATTTTGTTGCATTAAGTCATCCATTCCCTTGCCAGATTGAAATTTGAATTGAATTCTGCAGATTGGTGATGTTGCGGTGCTTGATATATCAGCAAAAAGACTTGAGAGTGAAGGATCGGACAGTATTCCAGATGCTGAGAGTAAAGGTCTGTTAATGTATCCTCAATTATGTTCTGTACTTAGTTTCTAGGTGATGCAGTAACAATTTACCTGTGATGGATGTGCATAATCAATATGATAGCAACTCATACTTGGATGGCGTAATTGATGTTGGTATTCTGGAGGCACAAAATTAAGAATCGCAAGTTTCTTGTGGAAGATGGCTTCTTTTGGATAGATTGAGTAAATGTAATACTTCTGTGCTCCCAGGATTCAATTTTGATACAGAGGATGGTGACAAAGTACTCCCAGGATTTCTTAATTCAATAATAGGGATTCGACCAGGTGAAGTAAAGTCTTTTCCACTTGCGTTTCCTGAAACATGGAGACAAGAAAATCTTCGTGGTGTTCATGCGGAATTTTCTGTAAGTTTCTTTCTGCTTAAACTCATAGCTCCAATCATTAGAATTGGAAGTATAAGATCTTGGGTACATGAAGTCATAAGATGATAAACCAGCAATAATAATATAAGTTATTTTGGTTGCTGTACTATTCTAGGTTGAATGCAAGGAATTATTTTATAGGGATTTGCCACAGTTGGATGATTCTCTTGCTGAGAAACTTGTTCCTGGATGCACCTCTATACAACAGGTGTTTTCCCTCACATTGCCTTTAACTTCATTCACAACCTAGAACCTTAAAACCTACATGCAGCCCAGGCTAAAAAATCCTCATTCAACCATGTATAGGTCAAGGATTTGTTGTTGGAGAAGTGCCTGGAAGTTGAGCAAACAGCAAGAGAGCAAGCAACTGATAATGCAATTCTTGACCAGCTTTGTAAGGTTAGTTCATCCTTTGTAAACTTAGCAAGACCTGTTGGTGATACATAGCATAGCTGAATGGATTTTTGCGTCTTTCTACTGATAACATTTGTGCTCTGTGGTCCTTCATGCACAAGGCAATACTTTCAGTCTGTTGGTCTTTAATAGGTTGCTTATTTGCCTGTTGTTTGTTGTACCAAAATGATCAGATGGTAGAGGTTGATATTCCCAAGTCCTTATTCGAGGAACAAGGTAGACAACTTTATGGAGCCAAACTTCTCCAGATCCAGGTGGGTCCTGTTGTTATGCTGGTGTTGATGCGGTCTAAATAAATAGTGAGAGAAAGAGAGAGTTGAGAGAAATGTGGCAGTTGTCATCATTGATTCATTTCTTTTGGTGCAGGCAAATATGAAACTTAATGAAGAGCAGTTGGCTAGGCTGTCAAGTCCTAAGGCAGTAAATGAGTACCTGGAAGGCCAGAAGGAGAACATAACCAGAGTGATAAAACAAAATCTGGCAGTTGGGGATATCTTCAAACGAGAAAAACTGGAGGTAAAACGTTATCATATATTCGCCCGAACTGTGTTTATCCACCCGTCCTCTGATATCACTGATTCAATATCCATTCATTCAACTGGCCACAGTTTGCAACGGAAGAACTGCTGAAGGAGGTTGAAAACTCTATAGCTGAGTTCAAACGTACTCAACAAGAATACGATGAGGACCGTGTGAAGGAACAGGTCCGTCCTCTCCTTTTCTCCACTTCTCTCTGTTTCTGCCATCATATACTTTTGGATACAGCTTGCAGGGAATACATCCCAATAAGATGCTACGTTTTACTGCCGATGTAGTTAGTTTTGCAACAAGGCGATCTTATACTGATTGTCTTCTGTAAGCGTTGATGGAGGAGACTGTAATAGTTGTGAATGACAAATTGTTTGCAATCGGACGCAGGTTCAGGAGATACTAGAAGGAGCTAAAGTGCTGGAATGGTTGAGAGAGCATGCCGACATTCAGTGCATTACCAAGTGATTGCAGAAGGAACCGTTTCTTTCCGACGCGGTAAGGGAAGACTTGTTCCACAAGGAACCAGCATAGCATCAGCCATGATGAATTGGTGGTCGTTCGGTCGTTCCATCCATCCATCCATCCATCATTCCCGGCAATGAAAAAGAAAAAGCAGATAGGAAAGGCTTCCTTCCAAAAGAGGAGGAAAGATTCTCTTTCCGGTGAGGGATGGAAAATTTTTGGAGGAACAGATGGGCCGAAACCCTAGATAAGAGGATATTGGGCGGTGAGATACTACAATCAAGTAATTAATAATCAGATAATTCTTGTTGTATTATTGTGCGTTGTGATGCCGTAATGCGGGGGTTAACGAGTAACTTACAAAAATATTGTTGGTTAATCTCTTAGCTAGGCCACCTAACCTAAGTAAACGTGAAACGTAGCACCGCAGCTGAGGGTTTCGCACGATAGACGAGGGCCACCAACTCACCAAGTCCTTAAACGTGAAATGCCACCAATTCTCTCCTTGGTCTCTCGTAGATCAAATTGAAGGAGAGCGGATCCATGACTAAGGGGGTCATTAGTCATTTGACTAAGTCCCTCCTAGCCATTAGATCTGCACACTTCAATCTAATGGTTAAAAAGTGGGAAAAGCTATTTAATTAATGACAGGGGTAGTTTGGGTATTATGGAAAATTACGAAGTATACAAACTGGATTTACAATCAGTACAAACCATACAAACATACGAACAATACAAACTAGAGCGACAAAACATACAAACAGATTTACAAACATTACAAACGTATGAACTGTACAAACAATACAAACTAGACCGACAAACAATACAAACCATACAAAAGAAAAAACACCCGGGTTGACTTTGGAGGCTCCATCCCTATATAGAGGGGCCCCTTCCCAAAGTCAACCCGGGTGTTTTTTAGACATACAAACATGGTGGACAAAAATGACAAACTAGACCAAAAATTCATACAAACTCGAAAAACACCCGGGTTGACTTTGGAGGCTTCATCCCTATATAGAGGGATTCGTCTCAAAGTCAACCCGGTTGTTTTTTAGACATACAAACATTACGAACATGGTGGACAAAGATGACAAACTAGACCGACAATCCATACGAACTGGAAAAAACACCCGGGTTGACTTTAGAGGCTCCATCCCTATATAGAGGAGGTTCATCCAAAAGTCAACCAGGTTGTTTTTTAGACATAAAAAACATTACAAACATGATTGACAAAAATGATAAACATGGTACACAAAAATAACAAAGTTTACAAACATTAAAAAAAAACCGACAAACATTACAAAATAACAAAGCGTACAAACATTACAAAATAAAACGACAAACAGTACAAAGCATACTAACCGTACAAAATCTCTCTCTCTCTGGGGAATAATTCTTGGGGAATAATGGCGCATGAGAGCTGGGGAACTCTCCTGCCCAGTAATTGCCCAGGGAGCCACCGCCGAACAACCGGACGGAGACGGAGGCGGCGGGCTGCTTAACTTTTTTTATTCATTTTATAATTAAATATAAAAAAATAAACATGCAATTACTACATTACCCTTCATTAAATTGGATTAATAGGAGCCTTTGGATTTTAATGAAGTTGAGTGGCTGAGATTCACTTAGCCATGTGACTAAGGGGACCCCCTAATTACCTGATCCCAGCCCCAAATTGAAGAGCATGATAAGCTCCCTCCTTTCTTTCTACCTCTCGTCTCCATTCAGCGGTTACATGACCATTAGTCGGTTAACACCTCTAATCATTCTTCAGTAATTTTGTTTTTAATCCAACGAATGGTTTTAGTAAGATACTCTTTTGGTATTGGATTTCCTTTTGTGATATAAATTGAAAACAAGCAGGGGAAGAAAGGGTTCATGGCTCTAAAGGTTGACATGAAAAAGGCCTATGATAGAGTCGAATGGCCCTTCCTTCTGGCAGTTTTGGATAAGATGGGCTTTAATTCTGTCTGGCAAGGATGGGTTCATGAATGTCTTAGATCTGCTACTTTTTCGGTCCTGATGAATGGAACGCCTTCGGGTTTTTTCGGCTCCTCTCGGGGACTCAGGCAGGGAGATCCGTTGTCGCCTCTCCTGTTTGTGCTTTGTACAGAGGGGTTTGCGGCCCTTCTTCGGAAGGCGATCTCGGAAAAGAAGTTAGAAGGGGTGAAGGTGGCGTCGCGTGCTCCTAGGATCTCGCATATGTTCTTCGCAGATGATTCCTATCTATTCTTGCGAGGTTCCCTTCAGGAATGTGAGAACTTAATTGTGGTGCTCAATGAATATGAGGAGCTGAGTGGGCAGCGGGTTAATCTGGCAAAGTAGACAGTCTGCTTTAGCAAAAATGTTGCCTCGGCTGATCAGGAGTTTTTGGGTACGATTCTTGGGGTCGGTGCAGTGGGGGTTCATGATAAGTACTTGGGGTTACCCACGTTGATTGCCCGATCCAAAATGGCGACATTCAGGTATCTGGAGGAGAAATTGCTGGAGCGTCTGCAGGGGTGGAAGCGAAAAACTTTATCCTGGGCGGCCAGGGAGACGTTGATTAAATCAGTTGCTTTGGCCTTACCCCTGTATGTTATGTCATGTTTCCGGTTGCCCCTCTCCCTGTGTCGTTTGTTGGATAAACACATGGCCCGCTTCTGGTGGGGAGTAGAGGATGGTCACCCCAAGATTCGATGGGTGTCCTGGCGGAACCTTTGTAGAAGCAAGCATGACGGGGTTTTAGGTTTTCGCAGGTTTGAACATTTTAACCAGGCTCTTTTAGCAAAGATTGGCTGGCGTATCCTCCATGAGCCGAACTCCCTCCTGGCCCAGGTCTATAAAGGGAAATACTTTCCTCAAGGATCTTTTTTGACTGCTACTGCCCGGTCTCGGCCTTCTTGGGGTTGGCAGAGTATCCTGTTTGGGCGTCAGCTTTTGGACGCAGGGTTAAGATGGCAGATAGGCAATGGCCTCTCAGCCTCCCTTATTCATTCTAAATGGATTCCTGGGCTTCAGCTGGATGCCCCTTGCTATAATCCCCGCATCCTGCCGAATGGGGGTGATCCCGTGGTGGCGGAGGTTATTTGTCAAGGGGAAGGGCGTTGGGATGAGAATAAGCTTAGTCAATGGTTTGACCCTTCTGTCTGTGGGGCCATTAAGGCTATCTCACTTCCGCGGCGGAATGTGGAGGATAAACTTATCTGGCATAACACTGCTGATGGGGTGTTCTCAGTTAAGACGGCTTACCATCTGGCAGTTGAGCTTGACAGGAGAAGGGGTGGGTGGCGGGAATCGGTGAGCTGGATGGATAGGAAAGGCTGGATCCGGTTGTGGGAAGCAAAGATCCCTCCAAAGCTTAAAGTCTTTGTCTGGCAAATTTTGAATCGGGCCCTGCCAACCACAGAGGCGCTCATTGAAAAGGAGGTCCCTGTGCTGCTCTGGTGCCCGGTTTGCTAGGAGGGGCCCGAGATGATGGAGCACTTGTTTCTCTACTGCCCGGTGGCACGGGCCCTCTGGGACTACTCGGGGTTGGATTATTTAGGGGAGGCTCTGCCTCGGCACACGTTTCCTCTGTTTCTAAAGCGGATGCTCTCCCTGGTCCATGATCCGTCGTTGTTTATGGCTGTGGTTGCCATCCTCTGGCGGATCTGGTGATCGCGGAACTGGGTTGTTTTTTAGGGCAAACAGTTTGGGATTCCGGCTTTAATGCGCCAATTTCACCAGCAGTTTGAGGAGTGGGTGGGGCTGCCGGTTGACCAACAGCCAAGGATGTCTTTCCCAGTGGTCCAGACCGGCGTGGATGACTCTCGGTTGGTTTGCATGTGGGACGGGGCAACTAGGAGGGGGTCACACTCGGCTGGTGGGGTGGTCCTTTGTGGTCCGGGAAGGACGGTCATTCGGGCTAAAGGTGTGCAATTTGCACGATTGGATGACCCGATGGTGGTGGAGCTGCTAGTGCTGCGTGAGGCTGTTACTTGGTGTTTAGAGTGGGGTTTGTCCGATGTTCGGTTCGAGGGAGATGCGAAGGTCATTATTGACAAGATTAATCAAGCCGATCTGCGTGAATCACTTGGGGGCGGTCCTGGAAGAGATTTGTCAATATTTTGCCGCTCATCCGGGGTTTAGTGTGCGGTTTGTAGGTCGGGATAACAATAGGGTAGCTCATTCGGTAGCTAGAAAAGCCCTCGCTTTGTACCCGAATGGGAATCGCTTGTTTGATTTCAGAGCCTGGCTGCTTTCCAGGATGTAACTATCTTGTTGGATTGAAGTAATATATGATAACTTTTGACAAAAAAAAAAAATCCTAACCAACCGCCACCTTTCCTCATCCCACTCTAGTTATCCCTTTTTTTTTAACAATAGGACTCTGCAATAACTAAGAGTAGGTAACAAATTACACAAGAGGAGGAATAACATTAAGGATAGTAAACCAATATGATGGGAGCTGGTGGCGGGCACACGAACGAGCTACCCAGTTGGCTTTCACATTGCTTGCGCGTCGAACAAAGGAAACTCCAATCTCAGGGAAGCGGTCTCGAATAATGACAACGACATTGAGACGTGCTGCCACAAACCATGACCATCCTTTCCTCGTGCCTTTGGTAGCATCAACCAGCACCTTGCAGTCCGACCGGATCATGCATGGGTTGTTCAGACCCGACGCAAGCAGGCATCCTTCATGTAATGCTTTTGCTTCAGCTTCCAAAGCTGACTTGCATAGTAGGGATTTCGCCTTCATGTCACACACCTCTTCATGGCTGTTAGATTAGATTACGCCAAATGCCGCCTCTTGGGAATCGTGAAATAATGATCCATCACTGTGAATCTCAAACATGATATTACTTGGCGGTGGTGGGGGATGATCCGGGGGTGGAATAGAATAGACTGACTTGAGACATGAGAACATTCATTCCTCTTCTTCTGCCAATTTTGCCACAACTGACAATCTTGGATTGACTTGGAGCAAGTACGTGGGGTTCTCGTTCCGTGCTTTCGAAGTATTCCTGTCAAAGTCTCAACGAAATCAATAGATTGAATGAAATAAACCGGAAATTGTATTTGTGCAGGGAGACAACTTTCCCTTTATATATGACTCTATACAACTCAACTAACTATATATTGGTTAACTCCTAACCTATCTAACCGGTCCATACATGAACCAACAACCTATCTACATGGAAACGATATCGTTTCCCTCAACACCCCCCGCAAGCTGACCATGTATGGAATGAATGGGCAGCTTGGTTATAAGATCCTGAAAGGTGGAAACTCCAACTGCCTTTGTGAATGGATTGGCAAGTTGATGCGCTGTTGGAATGTATATGACATTGAGGAACCCACGTTGGACTTGATCACGCACAAGGTGGTAGTCTAACTCTATGTGCTTCGTGCGCTTATGCTGGACTGGGTTCGACGCCATGTGAATAGCAGATTTGCTATCACAATGAACCTGCAATGGAAGCTTAATGGTCTGATGGAGTTCTGTGAGCAGAGACGACAACCATTGCAGCTCACAAGTAGTTTCTGCCAGTGCTCGGTACACAGCTTCTACTGAGGAGCGGGAAACCACTTGTTGCTTCTAAGCAGCCCAGGAGATCAGAGAGCGGCCGAGGAAAACAAAATAGCCCGATGTTGATCTTCTGGTGTCAAGACACCCTGCCCAATCGGCGTCAGCATAGGCATGAAGATCCATGGATGACTTGGTGGAGAAGAGAAGTCCTTGAGGTGGTGCTGCCTTTATGTAACGAAGAACTCGTTGGATGGCTTGCTGATGTGGTGTTCGTGGACTGGAAAAAAATTGCGTCAGGTAATTCACAGCAAACTGCAAGTCTGGGCGAGTTTGCAGAGATACTGCAAACGTCCAACGAGATTTCTATAGATGGTGGCTTCATCCTCAGGGAGAGGATCACCTGCTGTGTTGGATAGCTGAAGACCTGGTTCGAGAGGAGAGTTGGCAGGTTTGGAGTCCAGCATTCCCTGATCTCCAAGTAGCTCTAGAGCATACTTTCTCTGGTTCATGTGTATACCTACAGAAGATCGAGCTATCTCCATTCCAAGAAAATATTTAAGCTGTCCTAGATCTTTTATGGTGAAAGCTTTGTCTAAATGTTCTTTGACTCTATTGATCTCAGACATATCATTTCCAGTTAAGACAATATCATCCACGTAAACAAGTAAAGCAGTGTAGGAATTGGGTTTGTTTTTAATAAACAGGGAATAATCTCATTTAGACTGCGTATAACCAAGAGAAATGAGGTTGATGTCAGCTTGAGAAACCACTGTCTACTGGCTTGTTTCAAGCCATATAGACTCTTGGTTAACTTGCAAACCTTGTTTGCATTAGCAGGATCAGTTGAGAGGCCAGGGGGTAGAACCATGTAAACCTCTTCATCGAGGTCGCCATGTAGAAAGGCTGTATTAACGTCTAATTGGCGAAGATACCAGTTGTTAGTAGCAGCTAAAGTGAGCAAAACCCTTATTGTAGTTATCTTAGCTACAGAACTGAAAGTATCAAAATAATCTATGCCATAAGTTTGAGTATAACCTTTGGCAACTAAGCTAGCTTTAAAACGTTCTATGGACCCATCAAACTTGTATTTTACTTTAAATACCCATTTGCAGCCTATTGGGATCTTACCAAGAGGCAAGTCCACTAGTTTCCAGGTTTTGGTGTCTATAAGAGCTTTAAGTTCTAGGAGTACAACTTTAACCCATTCTAGATTTTTGATAGCTTTCTTATAAGTTTTACGTTCCTTAATTTGCATGATGGCTAAAGCAAAGTGCATATATGTGGGTGATAAGTCGGAATAAGAAAGAACAGATTGTAAGGGATACTTATAGTGGGAGTTAGGTTTGAATTGGCAAGCATTGGCAGTGGTTTTGAGATTATGGTGATAATTGGAGAGGTAAGATGGAGGATGGCTCTGTCTTGTGGATCTGCGTAACTGAGGTTCTTCTGGTTGAGGTTCTGCTGGTTGAGGGGTAAGCGTGGGTGATGGTTGGGGAATGGTGTCATCAGTGGGTGGAGGGGAAGGAATACTAGTGTGTAAATGATGAGGTGTGTCAAAAGAAATGATGGTGGATAGATTAGTGGGAGTAGTGTGAAGTGGGGAGGCATCAGTGGGATGGGGAGAAGCAAAAGGGAAAATGTTCTCATAAAAGGTGACATCTCGGGATATAAAAATTTCTTTTGTTTGGATATTAAGAAGCTTATATCCTTTTGTTCATGGAACATAACCTAGGAAAACACTAGGAATAGCACGTGGAGCTAACTTAGATCTATTATGTGATAATGTGGAAGCATAGCAGAGGGAACCAAACACCCTAAGATGAGAATAACTAGGGGGCTTATCATAGAGTAACTCATAAGGACTCTTATTGGCTAAGAGTAGAGAAGGAAGACGATTAATGAGATGAACATAATGACTTACAACATGATTCTAGTAAGTAGAAGGAAGAGAAGATTGATAAAGTAATGCTCGTGTCATGGCAAGTAAATGATGGTGTTTTCGTTCTACAATTCCATTTTGTTGAGATGTTTGAACACAAGTACGTTGATGGAAAATGCCATTTTCAGTGTAAAAATCATTATATAAGAATTCTTGTCCATTATCAGTTCGTATGGATTTAATTTTCTTATCATATTGAGTCAAAACGAATGTGTAGAAAGATTTTAACAAGGGTCTAACTTCTGACTTTGATTTCATTAGAAATAACCATGTATGTCTAGAACAATCATCGACTACTGTTAGGAGATAGAGATGACCAGAATTAGAAGTAATGGAAGCAGCACCCCATATATCAATATGTAGAAGGTCAAAACAGTGAGCATATACAGTTTGACTAATAGGAAAAGACAATAGTTTCTGTTTTGCACAGGGACACACAGAGTAATGAAAGTGCTTATTCATAGTAATAACAGGATCTATGGAATGCAACAATAAAAATTGGGTATAGGGTAGATGTCCTAAACGATAGTGCCAGAGATCAATGCTGGTCTGTGAGGAAGAGGAGCTCTGGACAGAGTTGGAAAGGTGTGAAGGTGACAATCCAGTAGCATGAGGATCCAGTTGGTATAAGCCATCTCGAATATTAGCTATACCAATCGTCCTCAGAGACTGGAGGTCCTGTAGGAGGCAGTGGGAACGAGCAAAGGTCAGTCCAAGTGCTACCTTGGCTGCCAACTTGCTCACAGAGACTAGGTTTAATGTAAAACTAGGGACGAGAAGAACATCATGTAAGGGAAGAGAAGGAAAAACATGACAATGTCCTATATGGGTAATCAAAGCTTTATCTCCATTAGGAAGGTAGACATATGTTGGGGGAACAGATCTATAGTTATCAAGATAATCTAGAGAACTAACTATATGATCATTAGCACCCGTATCAAGTATCCATTTAGGCGATGTATTAACTAACATACAAGAAGATTGGATAACAGAAACCTTACCTGGTGGTGTGGGAAGAGCATGAGTGGTAATGGAACAAGCCTGACTGGCAGAAGGAAGTCCATGCGAGACTGGAAAATCAGACGTAGCAGTGGGAGTGCTGTAGGTTGGATGATGCTGAGAGAAATTGGAAGCCTGAGCCATGTCAGAATAGGGAGACTGCTGTTGAAAGTACTGGGACTGCATGAACTGAGTCATCTTTTGGTAAGTCTCTTGGATCTGATTCCATTCTTGAGGCTGGAATGGAATGGCAGGATGAACTGGACGAGGTGATTCATCAGAAGAACCATCCTCTGTGGACACACAATAAGCCTTTGCCTTGCCTTTGTACCCAGGAGGAAAGCCATGGAGCTTGTAACACTTGTCAACAGTGTGACCATAGGAGTGACAATGAGTACAGAATGGCTGATTGCTACCCGAATGAGGCGGTTGAGGATTAGCAGAGGGATTAGGAGGGGGATAAGGAGATCTCAGTGGAGGATAAGATGGATTCCTACCAGGAGTGAAACCTCTAGAGTACATCGCCATTGAATCAGGCAAGGAAGGTGGGGCTAAGATGCGATTCTGTTTTTCATGCTCAATGATCATAGCAAAAGCTTGGTTTAGACTAGGCATGGGGTTCATCAACATAATCTGAGATCGAGTAGTAGCAAAAGAATCATTGAGTCCCCTAACAAACCTAAGAACATAGTTAATTTGATGATTCTGACGCACTATAGCTAAACCATAGTTGCACAGACCATTGCAACGACAAGGAGGAATCGACAAGAAATTATCCAGTTCATGCATCCAAGTGTTCATCTGTGTGAAGTAAGCACTTACGGACTGGGAACCTTGCTTGAATCGGAATAGATCTTCTTGGAGCTCAGCGATGCGGAAGTTGTTGCCACGAGAGAAGCGTTCGCGTACCTCATTCCAGACAAGTAGAGCATCTTCAAACCACTAAAACCCTAGAGCAATCGATGGAGAAACAGAACGAAGAATCCATCCAAGAAGTAAGGTGTTGTTTCTTGACTAGGCACGGAAGAGAGGATCGCCAGGAGCATGCTTCACGATGGTGCCGTCGAGAAATTGCAGTTTGTTCTTCGTTGATAGAGCACGAATCATGGCTCGCTGCGAGGTTGTATAATTGGTTTCGTCAAGAACGGGAGAAACCAATTGTTGGCTGAGACTCTCAGCTGGATGGATGAAGTATGGATTGTTGGGATCGAGATCACCAGCGGTGGAGTGCGTAAGCGGAGGAATAGACGAAGGAATCGGTTGCTGTGGTGGGACAGAAGTCTGATTGGCAAACACCATTGTTGCAGGAAAGAATTGATCGAAAAATTTACAGAGAAACAAAGGAAGAATCAAGAATGTCCTGATTGCTGTGGTAGGACAACTTTTGGATCAGCTCTTGATGGCATGCCTTTCCCCTCCTTCTCTGGGCGCTACTGCCTACAACTTTAACCACCAACTATAGCGGAAGGCAATACCCCACCCGTGGAGAAGAAACGCTCTACATTTGAAACACTTACATGGTTCGTGTGAGAGTGAGAGCCACGAACCCAGTCCCGTAACTTCTCGCCCGATTAGACCATAAAGTAGGGATACGAATTTTGTCCAACCGGCAACATAAGTATGTTCACTAAGAAGAATGTTGTAAGGAACCACATAGATGGAAGCATTGTAACTTTCAGACCCTGGACCTGCCCACGCGACGACAAGAAAAGTTGAATAGTGGTAGGTATTCATAGCCCAAACGCGACTAGAAACCTACCCGATTTTCATTTTTCTCGAACAACCTTGAACGAAGAGGAGCCTTAGCATCGATGAATACCTTTGCCTTAATGAAGACCTCACTCTGGTCAGAGGGATCAACATATAAATCGATTTCACGAACATCAGCTCCCCCATATAAGCGGGCCGTCAACCCAGATTCAAATAGCAGAGCTATGGACAGTGACGGACCCAGGATTTTGGGATAGGTGTGTTGGCCCAAAAAATAACTTAAAAATAAAAATAATATAATTAAGTAATTAAATATAAAAATAAATATTTTATTCATAAAGTTCACCAATTTCATTATGTTTACAATGATCCAAGATGAATTTTCATATTCTAAAAGATTTTTTAATTATATTTTGTACATTAGGTAGCAAATCAATTTTTTATATATAAATAACTAAAAAATTATTCATAAATTGGTCACTCAACTAATACCAAATATCATTCTTGATTAAACACATATACGAACAATTCTCTCCCTAACATGATCATCAATCACAATGAATGAAGTGGCATAAGCCACAGACAGCCTCGTGAACAAGTACCCCACCAAACTGATTTGCTCTTGCACCCGATCTATATCAACATCCTCATCTGCATATGATCAACATTCATAGGATCCATACTCAACACCAACTGTCGAATTGACTTTCTTGAAAACCAGTTGAAGAACCAAATTAGGGTGAGGGAAAGACAAAAAAATAAAGACAGAACAAGAGTAATCCACAAATGTATCTCACCAAAATCATTAGTATCGGCGGTAGAATAGAATATGTCAAAGAAATCCAATAATCCATCCATCTCACCAAAATTATTCGTAAATTATTATGCATGATGGACGACGGACCGTAATTGATGGGCCGTGGGCCCGTTACAAGACGAGCCACAGTCAAGACAGAAGAAGAACGAGACTCCACTCTCTAAACACAAAACAAAACAAAACAAAACGGGGGCAAAATTGGAAACCCACCCTCTCCCCCTTCTCAGTCCTACCCAAAAACAAAACAGTGACAGTGTCACGTTCGTAAATAGCCCTTAAACCCCAGGGCATTTTCCAGGTCACCAAGATTTCTCTCTCTTTCTCTCACGTAGACAAACAAAAGATTTGTAGATATGTGAAGTGGTCCCCACGCAACCCATCCCCAATCTTTTCTTTCTCTCTCTTTTTTCCCCCCTTCTTCTCACAGCAGCATTTGTCCTTTTCCCTTTTGTTTAGCATTTGCTGCTGCCTGCTTGGTCGCTTCTTCTATTATTAATTCTCAGCTGTACCCTCTACTCCCACCTTTTCCCCTGCTACTTCACGAACATTGAGACTGTAGAGAGAGATTGAGACTGTGTTTGAGTGTGACCAAAAAAGGAAGACGAGGAAGGTGGAGAAGAAGAAGAAGAAGGAAAGAAGCGGAGCGTGAGCTTTAGATCTGAAGCGTAACCACCTTCCCCACTTGTAACCCTACCATAGAGGACGATCCGGGTAAGCAACGACTGCTGCTGCTTCTTCTTTCCAGACTTTCTTGCTTGTGGTACCCAATGTGGGTTGCTTTTGTTCATTTTCTTGGGGTTTGGAGCTCGGGGGAGATCTGGGTTGGGCTCTGGAGCTCTGGGTCGAGGTTGACTTGGTGAAATGCAGTGGTTGTTATTGCTGTGGATGAAGAATTTCTGTGCATTTCAGTTTTGTGGGTTTTGGGTTGTTTGCTTGCTTGCTTTGATGGTACTCCACTGCGGGGAAAGTGAATTGTGGCTTGTTTGTGATCTTGGGTGACTTGATCCCTCTGGTTTAGCTTGTACGATGGTTCCGTTTTTTAATCAGACGTTGAGCACTTTTATGGTGTTTTGGGAATGGGATGACTTATGGTGTAGTTCTTGTTGCAGTTCATTGATTTAAAGATATGGGGTTAGTTGCTGATGAACTAAGGCCATGAGTTTGTTAATGCTATTCCGGATGGAGGCAATTTAATGAAGTGAATTAGTAGTATTAGTACTTTCCTTTGTAGTGTAGTTGTCTTCATTAGGCTCTTGACAACCCGTTTTTGGAATTTTCCTGTTGGTTGCTTGCTTGATTTCATTTAACTTGCCACTGTTTCACAAGCATTTCATCTCATATAGAATCTGTCTGCTATTCGATTACACTCGTCTCTGGGGCATAATTTTTGGATTGGTGCTATGTTATGAATCATGGTGATGCATACATTGGTTTGCTCATTGCAATAACTTAATGCTGAAAGTGACATCATTAGCAGCTTTTGTCAGTAGTGATGATCAGATTCTTCTTATAACGTAGCTTGTAGCCATAGGTTCTCCCAAGATTAGTACATGTTGCAATTGTAAGGCTTGGTTGTAACTGGATGATCAGATTCTTCTTATAACGATTAATTATCTGCAAATGCTCCTTAACCTAGTTTGATTAACTGTTTTGATTTTCTTGGCTTCCACGTATCTTCCTTGGTTTGTCTTTCACTTCCTGTTTACGGCTTTGCTTTATCACACTGAGATTTTAGTATGATACATACTGAAGACGTTTGGCAATGCTTCGTAGGTTCTTGGACTTGAGGTGAATGGCAGTCACAGACACCCAGAATCCTTTAGTTGCAGAAATGACCTGCAGTACTTTGCTGCAGAAGCTTCAGGTTTATGAATTAAAAAAACTGTGTTTTGAGCTCTTATGTTTGGTAATTTCATTTGACTTCATATGATGTGTAACGTAGCTTAACCCTGCAAGCTTTGATGTGCTGTAGGAAATTTGGGATGAAGTTGGCGAAAGCGATGAGGAGAGGGATAAGATGCTTCTCCAAATAGAACAAGAGTGCTTAGATGTTTACAAGAAGAAAGTTGAACTGGCAGCAATGTCAAGGGCTCAGCTTCTACAAGCTCTGTCAGATGCCAAAATAGAGCTTTCAACTCTCTTATCCGCCCTTGGGGATAAAAGTTCTGTTGGAACTGTGAGTACACATTACACAGTACCTAGGTTTTTTCTTATCTCTGTACATATTTTAATAGAACGGGGCATCTTCTGCTGGGTACTCTGAAATCTGGGGTTCTCATAATTGTCTTTTGCATGATAATACTACTATCAGCCTGAGAAGACTTCTGGAACAATCAAGGAGCAACTTGAAGCTATAGCACCAGCTCTTGAACAGTTGTGGAAACAGAAAGAAGAGAGAGTGAGGGAATTCTCCGATGTGCAATCACAGATACAAAAGATTTGTGGTGAAATTTCTGGGAGCTTGAGCACTAATGAGACTCCTGTGGTTGATGAATCTGATCTTTCCTTGAAGAAGTTGGATGAGTACAATGCTCACCTTCAGGAACTTCAGAAGGAGAAGGTACGGTACAACTTTTCATCCTGATGTCAACATCAAATTGTTCTTATTTCCAACTGTGTAAGTGCATTTTGGGGTACGTTCTAATCGCCTCTTTTAAATGATAGAGTGAGAGACTGCACAAGGTGCTTGAATTTGTGAGCAGTGTACATGATCTATGTGCTGTCCTTGGTTTGGACTTCTTTAGCACTGTAACTGATGTTCATCCCAGCTTGAACGAATCTACTGGTGTTCAATCCAAAAGCATTAGCAATGATACATTGGCAAGGTTGGCTAGAACAGTCCTGGAGCTGAAGGAAGATAAGAAACAGAGGCTCCACAAGGTAAATAGTTGTCCATCTTGCTTTCTAATTCTTGATCTTTTGATCCATATTCATTTGAGTCCAGTCATTGTCTATGCTTCAAGAACTATAAGTGGCACTATCATGGTGAATATGCTTCAATAATGCTCTCTTTCCTCCTATCCTCGAAATCTATCTAATTCAAGTCTTTTGTTCATCATAGCTTCAAGAGCTAGCGACTCAATTGATTGATCTGTGGAACCTGATGGACACTCCGGATGATGAAAGGAAATTGTTTGACCATGTTACATGCAACATATCGTCTTCAGTTGATGAAGTTTATGTGCCTGGTTCTCTTGCCCTAGATCTCATTGAGCAGGTATGGTGTTTTGCTCATCTTAAAAGGGGGTAAAGGAAAACATTGAACATGCAATCCTTATTTTTTTGGGACTAACTCATTTTCCTTACGCTTTTGAAGGCTGAAGTTGAAGTTCAAAGGCTTGATCAGCTAAAATCCAGCAGGATGAAAGAAATAGCCTTCAAAAAGCAATCAGAACTTGAAGAGATATTTGCCCATGCTCATGTAGAGATTGATCCAGAGTCCGCTCGGGAAAAAATCATGGCATTGATAGATTCTGGGAATGTAGAGCCTGCTGAGTTACTAGCCGACATGGATACTCAAATATCAAAGGCGAAAGATGAAGCTCTTAGCAGAAAGGACATTCTGGACAAGGTGGAGAAATGGATGTCTGCATGTGAAGAAGAAAGCTGGCTGGAAGACTACAATCGGGTGGGTACTCACTGCATCTCTCCATATAGAACTAACAATTTTATTCCTGATCATGGCTACAAGGCAGACATCACTATCTACTCTTCTTTTTCTAAGCCAATACGATCTCGTTCCTGAATTCATTTACTTGTAAGTTCTGTACTAACTGTTGCAATCTCAATGCCACAGGATGATAACAGGTATAATGCAAGTAGAGGTGCACATTTGAATCTCAAGCGAGCAGAAAAAGGCAGAATTCTGGTCAACAAAATCCCAGGTATCTTTGGAGTGGGTAAACCGTTACATAGTTATCTTATGTCAAGAATAGCTCAGATGGTTCACCTTTTGTAAGATGGCATGTGAATGAAGTGCAATTTTGGCTTTTAATCTTGTTTCTCAATCATGTAGCCCTAGTTGATACCTTGGTTGCCAAAACTCGGGCCTGGGAAGAGGAACGGGGCCTGCAATTTACATATGATGGCGTCCCTCTACTTGCCATGCTTGATGAATACGCCATGCTTAGGCAGGAAAGGGAAGAGGAGAAGCGGAGGATGAGAGTGAGTTCCCTTCCTACCTATCCTCACTGCCTGATCAAGTGCCTGACACATCTATTCCTCTTCCAGAAGGACAATATGTATATAACCTTTTTGCGTGACAGGATCAGAAGAAGCATCATGAGCTGCAAAACACAGAGCAAGAAGCCATCTTCGGTTCGAGGCCTAGTCCAGCCCGACCGGCTGGTCCCAAGAAGGTGGTTGGACCGAGAGCAAATGGAGGAGGCTCGAATAATGGAACTCCGAACAGGCGGCTGTCTTTGAACACTCCTCAGAATGGCAGCAGATCCGCAAGTAAAGAGAGAAGGGAGGCGAGGCTTTCTGCTCCTACTAATTACGTTGCTATATCGAAGGAGGATGCTGCCTCCCAGGTCTCTGGTACTGAACCGGTTCCCGCTTCACCATAGTGGAGCTGAAGATTGAAACGAAGAACGAGAGCGAAAGATGTAGGCTTTATACCATTTGCACAACATTAATGTTGTTATTAGTACTAGTGGTAGTTCGTTGTTGTAGTGGTATAGATGTGAAGGAGACATGAGAAACCGGAGTGTTTAAGAATGTAGTAGCTGTCTGCCCCACTGGTCTTGTGTATTTTTGCCGGTTTGGAGTTTTTCTTTTAGTCTACTGCAAATCATATTTTGAGGATCTCTTCTGCCTGAATCCCTTTGCACTGTTACTTTCCTAGCAACTAATGTTCTCTCCAACTTGCCCATTGAATCAAAATTCAACGCAAGTACTTTTAAACAACAAAATTTCCAGGTACCATATTGTAATTAGCCATTTTGGTTTGATCCGAGTAATGCAGGACCAAGCCGGTCAGGCAACCCGTTCGAAACTGCCTCCATTTTCTGAATTAATTAATTAGTGAAACCAAAACTAAAATCAACTATAGTCGCCACTCGCCAGTCTCGTTTCAGTTCTGTGCCATCTCTCTGTTTCTTTCAAATTTTGAAGTAGCGAGAAGCGGCAAATTGATCGAAGCAAATCCAGGCGATGGCGGCGACCGATTACGAACCAGCCAAGCTTCTGCTGCCGTACCTGCAACGAGCCGATGAGTTGCAAAAGCACGAACCCCTCGTCGCTTACTACTGTAAGCGGACCGTTCTGTTTCTACTTTGCTTTAACCCTAAGATTGTAAGTCCCTTTCCTGTTAATAGACCCTGTTCTTGTGATTAGGCCGATTATATGCTATTGAGAGGGGGCTGAGGATTCCTCAGAAGGATCGCACTAAGACCACCAATGCTCTCCTCGTTTCCCTCATGAATCAGCTCGAGAAGGTTGCTTTCTCTAGCTCCTTATCTTTAAACTAGTCCTTGTCTCCTTGATGATTGATTCCTGTTATTTTTTCTTCGTGGGTTGGAGTTAGAACTTTCTATGTAGTGAAGTGGTTCAGTTGCCTGATCTTCATGTGTGAAGTTGAAGATCCGCTTTCAAGCATCAACTAGGCTAGTTTTGTAGGCTGCATGTATCATCCCCACAATTTTCATGGTTTCCTATACAATTTTTGTGTATCACGTATCTAGACCATGTTATACAATTGTTGAAACTTATGCTCGTATCTTAATTCTGAAGTAGTTTGAAAGGCTTGTGGTAGATTTGGCTTTGATGTTACACCATTGTTGGAGCTTATGCTCAAATCTTGGAATTTCGAAGTAATGTGAAAGTCTTACTGGAGATTTGCTTCCACCATTCTGCATTATTGAGTCTCGAATATCCTTTCCTGCTATTGATGCTATGATGATTTGCTTTATAAAGGGTTAAATACAACTCTCCTCATGTGCGGCATTTGACAGGTCAAGAAGGCGGTGAAGTTAGGACCTGAAGATAACTATTTTTTGGAGGGATTCGCCCAAAATTTCTTTTCTAAGGCTGATAAACAAGATCGTGCTGGACGAGCTGACTTGTATGGCAAATGTTTTACTTCCTTTTGACTTCTTTTTTTGGATGAGACACATGGATGATGCTTCTGCTTGATTTTTAACTGTATTTCTGGTCTAATAGAATGACGGGGATGCGCTTACTTGGCTCTTAACTCCTTAGAATATGAAGGATGACAAGAGGTCTTTACAAGCCTGAGATTCTTAGCTGTGTAACTTATATGTAGTCAGGTAAATAGAGTTATCGTATATGTACATGAAACCGCCTAGCTTAGCATGCAATGCTCATGTCCTTTGATGCGCTGAATGCTAAGTCTTGACAGCTTTCTTGAAGATGCATGCTTAAGAATTAGGATTTCACAATATCAATTGCTTTAAGAATATAACAAGTCATGTGCAAGTCTTTGCTTTTTGGTTCTATGGTTTTCTTATAGTTTAGGGATTAGTTCTGCCGGCGGATAAGCTTCTCTCTATCACTGTATCCTTGGTCATTGTTCAGCACAGAGCTAATCCATGTTATGTTTTGTTTTGTTGCTATTTGTATTCACTTTACTATGCTGCTTAAGAATCGAAATGTAATTCTGAAACCTTTCACTGCTCAATGAATGATTGACTGAGATAGATTGAGGTTCAATTGAATTAAGTTCTCTATTGGTCTAACCCTACAGTTGAATGGTCCTTGATATATCTGAAATTCTTGTCTTGATATAGGAACACAGCCAAGACATTTTATGCAGCGAGCATTTTCTCTGAGATTATAATCAGTTTGGGCCTCTGCAAGCTGAAGTGAGTTTTTGCAATTCAAAGTTCCCTACAATCCTTATGACACTTCTTTTAGTTTATTTTATTATTACAGGAAACCTCTGCTAGATCCTTATGCTTCTTTCTCACTTTGCTGCTTGAACAGAAGCTGAAGTATGCAGTTTGGAAGGCTGCAGACATAAGGAAGGCATTGAAAGAGGGAAGGACGCCCAAGCCAGGCCCTCCTGTAGATGATGAAGATCTAGCGGTTCCATCTAGTGGATTTACCAATGGGCATGTAAGTTACAGTTCAATCCAGCTTCTTCTCCACTCTGATTTCAAAGTTCTGAAAGAAGAGGGAACAAAATGAAAAGGTGTAGGTCTGGCCTCCACCTAGTCGTGGAAATGACATAACATCTGATTCTGTTGTGCCCTAATGTTGAATTTTCAGGATGTTGGACAAGTGGAAACTTCGGCCACCACAATGCAATCATCAGAGTCCGATCCATCGTCCCAATTCCACAATCAAGGTGGCAGTTGCCATTCAGCAGACGTCCCGCAATCATCTCTGTTCCATGATCAGGCTAACCACCAACAACATCCTTCACACTTGATGCCACAATCACCACCTCAGTCATATGGTTCAGTGGGCAGGGAGCATTCCGCACGGGCTCAATCTCATCCTCACCAGTCATAGGACTCGTTCGACAGCCAACATTCTGGCGGAAACATCTTGCCTTCGCCTCCACCTCCACCTTATACTGGTGCTGCTGGGTATTCACAAGAATTCTATCCATCAGAGAACCCCACCTATTCCCAGCCACACCACCATATGCTGCAGAATTACCCATCATCTCATGATAATTTCCTACTCTTACACAAACTTCCAGTCATATCCAAGTTTCGCAGACACCAGCCTCCCTTCCGTGCCATCCCATAATCCATCTTATTACCAACAACAAGGGTCTGATTCCACCACGTACAGTTCTCAGTCTGCTCCGACACGACACCTGCTGCAGGCTATCATCCTCCACCAGCGCTGCGTAGTTCAAGCGACAGCAGCAGGATGAGCTCGGCGGATGCATCCATCCCAACTTCTGCCGCTGCAGCAGCAACGTACCAGCAGGACAGTAGCTACCAGCCTCCACCTGAGAAAATTGCAGAGGCAAGAAAAGCGGCGAGATATGCAGTCGATGCATCTGATGTGCCTGTGGTCGTGGAACACCTGAAGAAGGCCCTTGAGCTGTTAACTAACCCATCTGCTGATCCATAAGAGTTAAGTGAGGCTTCTGTCTGATCGGATTTGCTTTCTCCTTTCATGTGTTCAACCATTTATGAGATTCGCCCAGGCTTATGAACTCGTATTGAATCCATACCAGTTCAACAGCAAACTTAGGCGTTTTCTTACCATTCAAGCAAAGGGTAGATCCACTTCCAGACACGAGAACAGCCGCTTCAGCTCGACGCTTGATCAGCACCTTCTTCCATATCCAGGAACCGGTAAACTGTGATAGGGAGAGTCCATACTGATCTGTGTTCGTTACGATACTTTCTAACCCAAGCAACCCATAACGCCCCACTTCGGCAAGTACATTCCAGAGATGCCTGATTATACAAGCACGATTCTATACCCAAGTCTCGAATACCCGACCCACCTTCCCCATTCTGTAATGCAACAAACTCCCAAGCAGTTAAAGCACGAGCGCTTGAGCTTGTGGCATCAACTTTCCAAAGGAAATCATTGCACATTTGTTCAACTTCCTTTAGCACTTATGTAAAAGCCGAGCCTTCCAACCCCTTACCCTGATTATGATTCTGTCCATCAAAACGCGGCAATCTTTAGAGTCGAACTTACTCGAAATAGGAGGCACTCCAAAATAGCGGACATGAAGCACGCGCAAGGAAAACCAGAATACTGAAAGATACACACTTTTGTTTCATATGAATACTAGCTGGTGCCCGGCCCCTTGGCCGGCGTACCTTCGTGTCGTCTTTCAACAAACTAACAATGTCAGTGTTTTATATCACTTTGATTTTCTTATCCCAAATTTAAATTTTGGGTTGAACTTTTTTATCACATTAATTTTTTTTTATATTCTACATAAAGCCCTAAATTGGACTATAACTTATTTCTCTAAAGCACTCAAATTAGCTAAGCATGATTTTATACTCATCTTTTTTAATTTATATGAAATCATTTTACTTACAAAAGTGAAAATGTATTACAATCTGTCAATAATTGGTCATTGAGAAGGAAAAGAATTTGATCAAAGAAGGAAAAGCGTGAATGAAGGAGTAAGTTATAGGACTGACTGGGATAATTCAATCGTGACATAATGAGATGTGGACAAATTTTTGCTATGAAATGAAATAGAGATTGGAAGAGAAATTAGTGATAAGGCGAGATAGCATGCTTGACAAAAGAGACAAACTTCATGCCAATTTATTTTTCACTTTTTTCATATAGAAAATTCAACCCATTAAATTTTTTGGTTATAAATAGTAGTTCCAAATAGACAATTACAGAAAATCAGACAACCAAATATGGCAATTGACAAATAGTGGAACTGTCGATAGAAGAACATTAGAATTGATAAATTCTAAATAAAAAAAGTTCACAAATATTTTTTTAAAAAAAGGCGCAGATGATTCATGTTTAGATTTATATATTTCACTATTTTGCATCAGTTTATATATATATTTATTTAATTTCATTATATTTCCGTTAATATTTCCTTTTTCTAGTATTTTCTTTTCTTTTATTATCCTCCTCATAATTAAAGCAATGAAATTTTATCTCTCCCTGTAATCTCTCTCCCTCAATTAGTAACCGAATTTGTTTGGGGATCTCTCCCCCCATTATTTTAGGAAGAGAATCCGTTTTGTTTTACTCCAAGCACAAATACATAAATGCTCATCCTATTTGTTGAAGAGCTGTGGTTGGCAGAAAATTTTTCTTGACATTGCCTTATATTTATCTGAATTGCTATTCGTCGCCCTAAAAATTCAAATTTTTTCGCCCTAAAATATACTGAATTGACACTCTTACCCTCCTGTCCCATTTCTAAATAAAACCCTACAATCCTTTACCTTGCCCAGCCACCACCGAGCTGCTTTGTCTTCAGGCCGCCGCTGTCACGGTAGGATTCTTCTCTCGGCTGCCACCTCAAGTCGATCGTCGCCGGTGCTCTGCTACACCTCAACTGCCCACCTCAACTCCTGAGAATTCATCTATCCGACCCACTGCCCACCTCAACTCGATCACCACCTCTTTCCTACTGCTACCGGATTCTTCTGTTGCTGAACTGGTGCTATGCAATATGGAGTAGGTGGCAAATCCTCCGACCATATTCCAGGCGGGTCTACTTTACATTTTTTTTGGAACTTGTAATTGAAACTTGTAATTCAATCATTTATTTTTTGGATATTTTGTTTTGTTATTGTGTATAATTGCATGTGTTTGTTTTAGATTTCATACGTTTTGAAAAACAAAAATTAAGTTAAGGATATTTTAGTCATTTTAATAAAAGTTAGGGCGACGAATAAGGTGTTTTAGGGCGACGAATAGCAATGCCCATATTTATTTGTAGATGATAGGTAAATTGCATGTTTGGTCACTGTGTTTACTAAACAGGTTCACGTTTGGTCACTGCAAATATTTAATTCCATTCATGGTCATTGAAATTAGTTCAACCGTTCAAGTTTGGTCATTCTCCGTCCAACTCCGTTATCTCTATCCTATGTTGCGTTCAACTCTCAAGTTGACCGTTAAATTAGTGACGTGGCAATTTTAAATTAATAAATTTAATAATTTACAATTTCCACCTTATTTTTAGTAATATATTAAAATAAATGAAATATAAAAATTATAATTATAATTATCAAAAAATGAAAAATGAAAAAAACCTTAACTAGCCAAAAAGACACACAGAAAGAAGAACAAACTTTCCTCCTCCCTCAACCCCCAAAAAAACCCGACATTTTCCCATTCTTCTTCTTTCTTCCCCATTTATCTCCCATTCTCAAACTAAAAAATCTCCACTACCCAGAAGCCAAAACCCATTGCTCTTACAATGGGCTGATACGACGGGCTGGGAGATGAGGTTCCCGCTGAGAAAGGCCGAGTTGAGCGCGTTCTGCATCGCCGGGAGGAGCTGGGAGATGAGGTTCTGGTCGCCGGAGAGGAGGACGACCTCGTGGCAAGCAGTGGCGGAGCCAGCTCCTAATAAGGTGGGTCCCGGGATCCACCTTGGCTCAAGATTATATAGTGTTTTTAAAATTATACTTAATAGGTGTTTCGATCAAGAAAACCTACTATTGGTATTTAAATCGTAGACGATTTTTTAGCAGTATGAAACGATTGAATCACGATTAAATCACAGTTTCAACATAAATACCATACGTCTACCATTGACTTTTCTAGTAGAACCACCGGTACGGATTTACAATCTTTGCTAGATTATTACACAGATAACAATATTTGTACACAATTAATAATCCTCTAATTATGTATTATAAGTTTACTACTTTATAATTTAGTGTCGAATTATCCACCTTTCAACGAAAAATATGTCGACATACGTTATGAAACACATCGTAGGTCATTTCATTATTTATAAATTTATTTTTATGTCATTCGGAGCCACCTTAAATGGAATCCTGGCTACGCCACTGGTGGCAAGGTAAGAAGGGCAGGACGTTCAAGTTGACCCATTGAGCCGCTGAGTTAAGGTTGGATGTTAGGGTCTGGATGTCGCCATTGGCGGCCTCAATCACAATCACAATCCCGGTGTTGGCGAGGGCGCTGATGATTGGCAGATCAACGCCGTAGAGCTTGAGTTTCTAGACGGCGGTGGCGGCCAGCGCGGGAGGTTGCCGGCGACTTGGCCGTAGTTGACTCCGATGTATGATTGGGAGCTTGCATATTTCGCAACAACAAAAAGAAATAGAGAGTGAGGAGTTAAGAGATGGAAATCAGATCTCTGTTGATTAAAGAAGGAAACAATGTTATAGAAGGAGACACAGAGTTATAGAAGAAGTTGGAAAGAGATGGATGGAACGATGAGTGAAAGAGATGGGAGGAAGGAATTATTGACGAAAGTGGAGGTGGGGAGGTGAAAGGTCCGAGGGATTAATTTCAATTTTGTAATTGTATTTTTTTTTTAATTTATGGTTAAAAATGAGGTGGAAATTGAAAATGATGACATTTATTTCATTTTAATTTTCAACTCACTCATTTAACGGTCAACTCTCAAAGTTACCTGCCACATAGGATAGAGATAACGGAGTTGGACGAAGAGTGACCAAACTTGAATCGTTGAACTAATTTTAGTGACCACGAGTGAAATTAAATATTTTCAGTGACCAAATGTGAACTTTTTTAGTAAATCAAGTGACCAAACTTGCAATTATCCCGAATATGATATACCTCGATATAACAACTAGCACTTTTGAGGGATTAAATTGAGGCATAACAACTTGGAAAATTATGCTAACACTCTATTAATGCTTGCCGTAGCTCTAACATATGTATCCATCAGAGAATATCACAAAATCGCTGAGTAAAGCACATATTGGGATTTGAGATAATTCTATCACATAGGAGAGCATATACAAGAAAGTCTGTTTGCATGCAACTTAGAAATACCTTCATAAAGAACACTGTAACATGATATAGGATAAAATCCTAGGAATAGGATCATAATAAGCCGGCACTTGCACGTAAATTTTGTTGTTATAGACTTGAGGTCATTAACTTGTAATTGTAAAATATATTACGGCTATAACTATAATGATATGATACTACTAGTTATTGTTATCCATTTTTTATGGCGTTATTATTATTTTTTAATTACCATCATGCTACCACTATAATGTAATTTATGTGCTGCTATAGATTGTCTTACCTAGCATAATGAAAAAGAAAAGCACGTGACGTGAAAGGACATTTACAGTAGGGGTGGAGTTTCGGTTAGTTCGGTTATAACCGTAACCGATCGGTTGGTTATTGGTTAATCGAACTGTCGGCCCCTTACCGACAATCGACCGAAATAGGGATTTAGACTTTGGTTATCTCGGTTTTCGGTTAACCAAACCACCTCCAAGACCATAACCATCTCGGCCAGCCTCCGAACACCGACCAAATTCCGGTTATCTCGGCTATCGATTAGTGGATAACCGGCCGGTTATCGGTTTAACTGACCGGTTAACCGGTAACCAAACCTCCACCCCTACTTTAAAGTATTGGTGTTTTAGTTTGCAAAATACACCTGTATAGCCATAAGTGTGCACTTTGTGACAATAATAGCCAAATTTTGAGAAATACACTAAAATAGCCTTTTCGTCAATAACTTTAACGGCAAAATTATAAAAGCTGACTGGACTAATGGTTTAATGACGTGGCAGCTATTTTCATTAACTTATCTATTTATATTTTTTCCTTCTATTTTAATTCAATTAATAAAAAAAAGTAAAAAGCATCATCTCTCCCCCCACCTTTCACCTTCCTCGTACTCTCTCTTCCTCCTACACTGTACCCCTCCATGGACACCAGCATCGCAAAAACTTCCCATGCCCTCTAGCTCTAGGAAATCGAACACCTTCGTCGTGAACCCTCCTTAGCACCACGAACAGGTGTCCCTCGTCGTCAAGCCCAAGCCACTGCACAACTCATCGCGGGTGACGCATAGTTGGTGAAGTAGGCTCCGGAGATTGGCCCCGCCGTCGGGAGGGAGATGAAAATTGATGGCAGGTTCGGCGATCGTAAATGACGAGGTCAAATTTTCAGCGACCATTACTCAAAACTCAAACAATATTCACAAACGAAGCGATTATGATTGGCTGATTAGGGATTTCTCCACGAAAAGATTAGGGTTCCTAGATTGGGGATTTCAAAATCCATCACCGTCAAGACCTTTTGAATGACCGCCCGTCGTCGATGAAGAAGGCAGACGACAGCGCCGACCTCCTCCTGCTTCCTCTCGTCATCGACTTCCTTCGATGTTACTTGCCTCCCTTTGCTCCTTCTCGTCGACGGGGAAGTAGCGGACATTGTAGTCCTGTTGCGCCTCCTTCAGCTAAGGCGGAGTAGGGAGAGCGAGAGGGAGAGATTTGCGGAGGTATTGGAGGATAGAGGTGAATATCCACGCACTGGAAGATGAAAGGTGTTCGGGGAGAAGAAATTGAAGGAGGAGTGGAGGTGTCGATGCCAATTTCGGGGCCATGGTCGGGCTAAGACGATGCGAGCGGCGACACCGGGGGTAGCTGAGGCGGACGACATGACACGACGGGGATGCATCGTAGATCTGGCTGGAGATATGAGAGAACGAGAAGAAAGGAAGAGGAAGGGAAGCGAATAAGAGATTTTCATATTCATTTGGAAAGAAAAAAAGTTAATTATTTTTTATTTTCTGATGTGGTAATCATATGAGGAGTGGCGCTGATGTGGCGTCAAAGTCAAACTTGCAGTTAACATTTTTAACGGTGTTATTGACGGTGTTAATGTATTTAACGAAAATGGCTAAATTTGTCAATTTAATTTCAAAAGTGTGGCTATATTAGTGTATATTTAAAAATTGGATATTATTGTCATTAAGTGGATAGTTATGGCTATGGAAGTGTATTTTGCCTTTTAGTTTTTGCCTTTAACGTTATGGTACAACTTTATATTGTACCTACATCTTTTTGTAAAATTCATTTATAGTAAAAACTAAAGTTGTACTTTATGTTATGGTACAACTTGAATTGTAAAATTCTCTTATGGTACAAGTTCAATTTGTACCTTTAAGATTATAGTAAAATTTGAAGTTATAGTAAAATTGGTCTAATTTATTTTGTTCCAATATATATTGAGTTGAATATTATCTTTATTAGTCATAATAATAAATCTAGTGCTGAAGTAGAACGAGACACACGATTTTACGGACTTTTTCCATAATAGCACTGCTTAATTTTTTTTTCAAAAATAGCACCCAATCCCGAAAAATTCCAAAAATGGCACCCTTTTTCGTTACGCGAAATAAAAAAAACCGCGACGATCGGAAACCAAAACACAAAGATACGTTGTTTGAAATTTCCACCTAGGTTAGGATTTTTCGGAAAAAAAAATTTGGACCAAACCGCAGGGTTGGGCAGCGGTTTTGGACAACACCGCCCCCACCCAGATCATTTTTCAAAATCGCCCCGTAACCATGCGGTTTTCATCGAAAATCGCGCCCCTACCTAGCGATTTTCGTGTAAACCGCGGGGTTGTGTGATAGTTTTCGAGAAAGGGTGCTATTTTTGGTTTCGAAACTGGATGCTATGTTTGTTAAATTTTTTTTAAACAGTGCCTTTTTCTGGAAAAAAACCCCGATTTTATGTGGTATCCCCAACTTGATTCATTGGGACTAATCCACGGGAGAGATGGGTCTCTCTGACTTTCACTTTTATTTATTAACTTGTGACAACACCTTGCGGCAGCAAACTCCACTAGGACTAGGTTTTCTTTTCCACCAATGAGAGGCCGAGAGCTGCTGCTGGTAGGTGTGCATGGCCATGTGGGCTTGTGGACGAGACTCTTCTCGGCCCACGACATCAGCTCAATCCAATACGCCCCCGCAAGCTGAACCGTGAAGATCACGAACGTTCAGCTTGGACAGAAGAAAGTGAGAACGATCTGCACCCAATCCTTTGGTGAACAAGTCTGCAACCTGAAGCTGAGTGCTGACCTTGAGAGGAAGAATATCTCGAGAGACAACACGTTCCCGTATGAAGTAACAATCCATCTCGACGTGCTTCGTACGCTCATGGAAAACAGGATTAACAACAATATGGAGGGCAGCTTGATTGTCACAGTAGAGGGGAGTGGGATGCCGACGCGGAACACACAACTCAGTCAACAACCTGCGAAGCCAAATGAGTTCACTGACAGTACTCGGCTTCGGCGGAAGAACAGGCTACTACCTTCTGCTGTTTAGTGCGCCAAGAGACAGGAGAAGACCCCAAAGAAATGAAGCACCAGAGGTAGACCGACGGGTCGTCTAACACCCGCGCCAATCGGCATCACAATGAGCAACCAATTCAAGTGAGTTGTTAGTAGGGAAGTAGAGGCCCTGGTCAGGAGACATCTTCAGGTAACGAAGAATACAAGTGGCTCATCCATGTGAGCCTAGGTAGGAGCATGGACAAAGCGATTGAGAATGTTGACACCATAGGTTATATCCGGCCGGGAGACAGTTAGGTAGAGTAGATGCCCTACCAGACGACGATAGGAAGAACCATCAATCAGAGGACTGGGTCAGGCTTAGCGAGTTGATGATTCTGCTCCACAGGAAAAGTGTTGGGACGAGCACCGAGGACGCCTGCTTCATTCAAAATATCAAGCACATACTTACGGTGACTAAGGACAATACGCGAGGAGATCTAGCAACTTCGAGACCCAGAAAATACTTCAATGGACCTAGATCCTTGATGCTGAACCGCTGATCGAGGAATTTCTTGACATGAGTAATGAAGTTAAGATCTGTACCCGCAAGAATGACAACGTTAACATAGATAAGAACCATGACAAACAGTGCACCTTGACGATAGATGAAGAGAGAATGGTCGGAAGGGGAGGCGCGAAAACTAATCTCACACAGGGATGTCGTAAACTTCTGGTACCAGTTCCGAGAAGCTTGCTTCAGGCCATAGATGGACTTGTGGAGGCGACAGACTCGACGATCACCTGGAGCAGAAATACCAGGAGGGATGCTCATATAGACTTCTTCCTGGAGATCACCATGAAGAAATGCGTTATTGACGTTGAGTTAATGGAGATGCCACCCACGGCTGGCTGCAACAACAATGAGACAACGAACAGTGACAAGTTTGGCGACAGGAGCAAATGTGTCATGATAGTCAACTCCCTCAATTCACATGAAACCTTAAGCGACTACCCGAGCTTTTTAACGCTCAATGCTCCCATCTGGACGATACTTGATCTTAAAGACCCATTTTGCATCAATAATATGAGCACCGGGAGGGGGTTCAACCAAACTCCAAGTGTGATTAGCAATAAGAGTTTCAATCTCTTGGGTCATCTCGACCCACCAATGGGCATGACGAACTGCTTGAGCAAAGGTACGAGGCTCTACCTCAACAGTAATCTTGGCCAGAAACGCTCGATGGTTAGGACTGAGATGAGCATATGAGACGTAGTGAGAAATGGAATATTGTACATGGGCTGCAAACTCCAGGTCAGTCTCATAAATATCAAGATCCTTGGGAGGTCGACGCTCGCGGAGACTGCGGTGAAGGACAGGGGGCTCCACTGCTGCGGGTGAAGATTTCGGAGTGGGGAGGACGGACCTGCGGAGGACAGAGAGTCGGACTGGGACGAGTCCAAAAAAGAGAGACCAGGGGACGACGGAGAGTGAGACTAGGAGGAGTCTGGCGTAGTGTGATCCAATGGAGGCTCCTATGGCTTAGGAGGAGAGGTTGACTGCGGGGAAGACAGAGAAGGATAACCACCAGCAGGCGAAAAGACCAACTCATCAAACTGAAGGGGATGCGAGATAGGACTAGTATCAGCAACTTCAAGTGCGTCTTCAAGAAATGACAGAGGAACCCAATGAAATTGCTGGGGATCCTGAGATCGGAATGGGAAGTGTGTTTCATGGAAGAGGACGTCGCGAGACGCCTGAACTTTGCGACTTAGTAAGTCATACACCTTATACCCCTTTTCCGAAGATGCATACCCCAAGAAGATGCCTACACACCCCCGGTCGGCGAACTTGTGCAAACTCCCATGATTGTCCTTGCAATAAATGAGGCACCCGAATACTCAAAGATGGGAATAGAGAGCGGGTTTATTGAACAACACCTCATAGGGAGTTTTCCCGGTTGCATCAATATGTAATCGGTTGATCAAATAGTCGGCAGTCAGAATGCATTCTCCCCAAAAATGGACAAGGAGGCCTACGTGAAAACGAAGTGCCCGAGCTGTATCCAGAACATGCCGATGTTTATGCTCTACTACTCCGTTCTGTTGTCGAGTATCAGTACAACTGGTTTGTAGAACGATGCCCGAGCGTTCATAGTAGTCACGCAGAGAAGTGGTACGAAATTTCAGACCATTGTCTGCCTGAATACGTTGGACTTTCTTACCAAACTATGTAGCAGCCATTTCACAAAACTTGGTGAGATAGCGAGAAACATCAGACTTGAACTTCAAAATATACACCTAAACACCACGACTGAAATCATTGATAATTGTCAGAAAATTATGTGCTCCACTAAGCGAAGCAGTGTGATAACCACCCAAATGTCGATATGGATTAGTTCAAAACAACTCGATTTGCGAATAGTACTAAGAGGAAAAGGTGACTGACTCAGTTTCGCACGAAGACAAGAATGATACGATCCTTGTTTCTTCGAATCCGGAGAAGTTAAAAAAGACAACAACTGAGAGAGCTTGGCAGGAGACGGATGTCCCAAACGAGAATGCCAAACCTCTTAAGGGACTGAACGATTGCCACTACCAGTGAAAAAGAAATGTTCCTTGCTGCTGAATAACCTCAGATAATAAAGAGCATAACGGGGAATCCCCTTCCCAATCACTGTCCTGGAGCGTAAAACCTGTAGAATGCACAAGTCACGTAGAAAGATCAAGGCAACATCATTATCTTTTGTCAGCTTACTAACCGACAAAAGATTACACGGAAAACCCGAAACATGAAGTACGCGATCAAGATGCAACCCAGAACTGAACGTAACAGACCCAACTTGCTTAACGGGTAAACTTTGACCTTCGGAATTCTCACAGGATGACTATCTTCATTAACCAAAGTAGCACTAAATAGATTTGCATCATGGGTGATATGCTCGTTACAACCCGAGTCTATCAACCATTCAGGATTAGCGAGGAAAGTACCTGCCATGTGGGTGGATGGATCATCCGCGGTAGACGACTGTGAAAAGAACTTCTTAAGGTTCTCGAGCTGGGCTAATGAGAAGTCGGGGACAGGACTGGCTTCGACCTCAGCCTGCACAGCTCGTGGAGGACGATCGACAGAGTGATCAGCAGGGCCACGCCGCCTCTTCTCACCTCTGTCTGCCTTCTCGTTGTTAGAACGACCGGGCCAACCAACGAGATCATAACGTGTATCCTTGAAATGTCCCACCTTCCCGCAATGCATACACTTGGGCCTTCCGTCTGGAGTACGAGTAGGCCTGTTAGCGGTGCGGTTTCGGTTTTAACCGAACCACAACAGCGGTTAACCGCAGCCGAAGACGCCACTGAAACATCAACCGCAACCGCAGCCGAAGGGAGGTACGGTTAACCGCAAACTGCAACCGAAGGTTTCGGTTTGTTTGCGGGGTCAATCGAGACCGATGGCCGTCGCGATCTCCACCCTGCTCACCGCCGTTTCTTCTTCCTCCACTTCCACCCCTTCCGTACAGAACGCCGTCTCTTCCCTCTACCGAATCACCCTCCTCCTCCCACAAGAAACGCCTCTTCTTATTCGTCACTGATAGTGACCAAACCATTGAGGGGAAACAGAGGACTCACATAGGAAAGGGGCGCGCGAAGGACGATGGGATTGAGGGTCGACGTCCTGAATCGCAGGACTGGGGGCGACGACGAACGGCAGGACGGACGAAGGATGGGGCAGAGCGACGCTGACGCGAGGTGACTAACGATGGAGGCGACAATGATTACGACGGGCCGACGGCTGCAGTGGGGACGCCGGGGTAGGGCGATGACGACGTCTGCAGCGTGGACGCCGCGCCGGAGAGGGGAGGTCAGGGAACAAGGGAATGGGAGGGTAGCGGCGGGCCAAGGTGAGAGACTTTCTCCCGCTGGAATTGGTATCGCGAATTAGGGTTGCGGGAGGATTCGATGGACTGGGATGCCTTGGCGATGACGAGGCGAGGACGACGACAGGCGGCCGGGAGGGCTGGGATTTGTTGGGGAGGAAATCGCAGGAGGTGGTGGATTGGCGGGCGGAGAAATTTTTTGGGAGGTCGAATTTAGGGTTCCCCTTTCAGTTCTACTCTGTAATCGTGACAAGAGGGAGATCTAGGAGAGGGCACGACGCGGTTTGGCCAGGTGAAGTGGGATTCGCGGTTAGGGCGGTTAACCGCGCGCTGTTTCGGTTATGACCGCCAACCGAATTTTGCCTCCTTTGCCAGGAATTGACCAACCGCAACCGCAAACCGCATTACTATTTTGGTTTTTGGTTAACTATAAAACCGATATTTTCGGTTCGATTTTCGGTCCAACTAAGTAACCTCTAACCGATTAACAGCCCTAAGTACGAGGATGCTCATCATCGGATCTGGCCGCAAAAGCTACACCTTCAGAGGTGGGGCGACGACGTTGTGCAAGGAGACGCTGTTGTTTGTCAGTGGAGACTATATTGAAGGCTTCAGCAAGAGTCGGTGTGGGCTTCATAGGTAGAATTTGACTACGAACTGTTTCAAAATTTTCGTCAAGACCCATCAAGAAATCGAATAAACGGAAGCATTCTTCCTTGGCTTGAATGCGAGTTTCAAGACCGCAATTGCATTGACCACAAGTACATATTTCAGCTGGCGAAAGAGATTGGGCTTCTTCCCATAATGTACGAAGTTGAGTATAGAAAGATGATACTGAGAGTTTTTCTTGCCATAGGGCACTAACGAGGCGCCGAAGCTCATAGCCTTGGGTCAAGCTCCCATGACTGAAACGTTTCTTGCCATAGGGCACTAATGAACGCGATCAAGCGGAAGGCAACATCATTATCTTTTGTCAGCTTACTAACCGACAAAAGATTACACTGAAAACCCGGAACATGAAATACGCGATCAAGCTGCAACCCAGAACTGAACGGAACATACCCAACTTGGTTAACGGGTAAACTTTGACCATTCAGAATTCTCACAGGATGACTATCTTCATTAACCAAAGTAGCACTAAATAGAATTGCATCATGGGTGATATGCTTGTTACAGCCCGAGTCTATCAACCATTCAGGATTAGCGAGGAAAGTACCTGCCATGTGGGTGGATGGATCATCCGCGGTAGACGACTGTGAGAAGAACTTCTTAAGGTTCTCGAGCTGGGATAATGAGAAGTCGGGGACAGGACTGGCTTCGACCTCAGCCTGCACAGCTCGTGGAGGACGACAGAGTGATCAGCAGGGCCAACCAACGAGATCATAACATGTATTCTTGATATGTCCCACCTTCCCGCAATGCACACACTTGGGCCTTCCGTCTGGAGTACGAGGATGCTCATCATCGGATCTGGCCGCAAAAGCTACACCTTCAGAGGTGGGGCGACGACGTTGTGCAAGGAGACGCTGTTGTTTGTCAGTGGAGACTATATTGAAGGCTTCAACAAGAGTCGGTGTGGGCTTCATAGGTAGAATTTGACTAAGAATTGTTCCAAATTTTTTGTCAAGACCCATCAAGAAATCGAATAAACGAAAGCATTCTTCCTTGGCTTGAATGCGAGTTTCAAGACCTCATTTGCATTGACCACAAGTACATATTTCAGCTGGCGAAAGAGATTGGGCTTCTTCCCATAATGTACGAAGTTGAGTATAGAAAGATGATACTGAGAGTTTTTCTTGCCATAGGGCACTAATGAGGCGCCGAAGCTCATAGCCTTGGGTCAAGCTCCCATGACTGAAACGTTCCTTGAGGTCGACCCAGACCTCTCTTGCCGTCTTTGCGTACCGAACGTTGCTCCTTACTTCTTTGTTCATAGCGATTCTCAACCACCCTTTGACCACAACATCACAACGAATCCAGGTTGCTTTCTTATGCTCTTGTGCTGGCTTCGGTTTGGTGTCGTCCACGAAACCGATCTTGTTCTTGATAATGAGTGCATCGGTGACATCGATGACCCATTCTCCATATTTGGATGACGTTAGAAGATCTCCAAAATTGGAGCTGATCATTAATATCCGATGGATGAAGATAGTAAGGTGAATGAGGCTCTGGAAACCCTTGACTGGAGGACGATGGTGACTCGGAGAAGGGGCCTTTATTCTTGACGTCGCCTTCCTTCATAATAAATCTAGTATACAGAAGTAGAACGAGACACACGATTTTACGTGGTATCCCCAAGTTGATTCGTTGAGACTAATCCACGAGAGTGATAGAGTCTCTCCGGCTTTCACTTGTATTGATTAACTTGTGACAACACCTTGCGGCATCAACATTACATCAATATATAACCCTTTGCAACTATCGACTAGGGCTAAACAAACTCCACCAGGACTAGGTTTTCTTTTCCACCAAGGAGAGGCCGAGAGCTGCTGCTGGTACGTGTGCATGGCCATGTGGGCCTGCGGACGGGACTCTTCTCGGCCCACGATATCAGCTCGGTCCAATACATAATTCGTAAATATTCGGCGGCGGGAGTTTCTTAGTGGCTGCGGACGGTGGCACACATACAGATGCCAGGTAGTGCTTGAGTACTTGAGCTTATCCTTGGCTGAAGAAAAGGACAAGATATATACTCTTTCACAATTGAATTTCGAAGCTAGTGTGGGTAATACCAATGGCCGGCGCAGTAATTAACGTAGAGGAGAGGAGAGGAGAGGAGAGCACACTTGAAAACCCCCACGCCACATTCTTGGAACTTCCGTTGGTAAAATTTTGACTCCATTCTAACTCCCCACTACCAAACATATTAATATATAAACACAACGGTGTCATCATCCGGCATGGGATATATTATAGAAAGAATAAACAACACTCACTCATATTCTAGCTACTTCAATGGGTTTTGGAGCCTGTTTCCGGCGGCCGCCGCGGCAAGATCACTACTACCTCCGCCACCACGACTCTCCTCCTCCCGCTCCGCCGCCGACCTTTCCTCCTCATCCGGTACCCTCTTACGGTTTCGCTGACTGGATCAAGCTCAAGTGCCTAGGACTAGGAGGAGGAAACAACAACAACAACAGAAAGCGGAAGGCGGCGGCCGACGGCGTCAGGAAGCTTAAGAAGAAGCAGGTTCACGCCAGCCGCCGTCACAGTGACGACAGTATCACTCTGGAGCAGGTTCTGAGGCGGTCTCCGTCGAGGCAGCCACCACCCCACGCCGCCGCCGCCAGCAACAAAGTCTATCCTAATAGCATTGAGTGTTTCTCTTTGGAGATGCTGCTGGATATTGATGAAGAAGATCAGAGTGCTGACGTGGATGGTCGTGAGCATGACTATTATAATCACGTTGCGAACACCGACGACGTTAGGGAAGGTGGCGCCGGCAGTAGTAGTGCGAGTGGTGGTTCCGATGAGGGTGACGGGAGAAACAGCAGCAGCAGCAGGAAGAGAAGGGTGAGCTTTAGGCTGCCGGAGGAGGGTGACATTTTCACCTACGAACCCTCCGACGATGATGAGGAAGACGACGACGACAAGGATAAAATCATGAATATCGGAGTATACTACTATTGACTTTTCCGGACTTGACTTTTCTTTTCTTTGTGGTTTTCTCCGCTACTCTATAATTCCCGTCTTCAAGCGTCCATGTAACTTTGTCTTCTTCTTTTTTTTTTTTGTGTTATTCCTTCAAACATTGTTACGGAGAATTTTCAGCCGGAATTGTGATAGGGGGCGGCTTCGGCTAAGAATAAGACCGAGAATCACAGTTTAATTAATAATGTCATAATGTGGGTAACACTAACAAGATGTTCAATAAACTTCGAAATGGTATTAGAATGAAGTACTTCTATTATGCTATATAATATTGGTATTTTAATGTACAACTTAAAGTTGTATCATAACATTAAATGTATAAGTTTAGATTGTACCATAAAGCAATTTGTACCATTATGTTATGATACAACTTTACAACTTAAAGTTGAATTATCACATAAACTTATAAGTTCAAGTTGTACCATAAAAGAATTTGTACAAAAAATATAGGTACAATATGAAGTTGTACCATAACATAAATGTACAATTTTAAGTTGTACCATAAAGGCAAAACTCTATAGCACCAATACTATATAGCATTATAAAATTTCTCATTAGAACGAGACTTTGAGACTAGGAAAACAAAAACAACAACACCATCCCCTAGTGGCGTTCCTTTTACTACCACTGATCAATTACTTGTTTTTTGTATTAATTTTACAACCCACATATAACATATTATTTGGGTATTGGCCAATATATACTATTAGTTTTAAGTTTAGAATACTATTGACATTTAAACTTCTTTACAAATTATAATGATTTTAAAGTAAACAATTTCACAACGAAACATACTTTATATTTGAAACAAGTCTTCTATAATATGTAACGACTGTTTTACTATAACATAATTACAAAGTTTATCATTGAAAAGTAATTAATTGGAAAGCATGATTTGAAAAGAAAGAATCGGAAAAGTGTGAAAGAGGATGTAGTCTCTTAGCTCGATCTCTAATAGCAGCTGGTTGAGTTGTAACTCACAAATGTGGTCGTACTCGTAGCGGTAGTGTCACTCAAGTGGCGACTGCGGGTTATAAGGTTTTTATGAAAGATAAAATAGAGAATGATTAGTATTGATTTTATGAAAAAGGACAATGTTAAGATTGAAAAATAGTTGTGGAAAATAAGTTATTTGGAGGTTTTCTTGGAACCAAATGACTCTTTAAGTATTTTACAGTAAAAAAGGTCATATGATAACAAATGACTCATTGCAAACTATTCAAGTTTTCCAATGACTCATGCAAACGACTTTGGTGTTAGGGATTGCCCTATTTTCATTTTAGAAATACCATTCCTTCCATTCTCAAACTTTTCTTACTTATTTTACAGAATACAATATTTACATATAATTTAGTTGAGCACAAGTTGCCTGCAAAACCACGATAGATAGGTACACAAAGCTCCCTGATACCTATCGAAAGGAATATCTCTTTGGTCAACAAAATTTGGCTATACGACCTAATTTGGTGCTTTTCTCTTAATACTTGCTTCATCAACCAAATTAAATTCTAGCTACTCACAGTACTTCACATTAGTTTCAACAACAGAATCTTTGAATCCGCCAGTTCATTTGAATCTTGTCAAGAAACCTAATTGTTGTCGACTATAATTTATGAATTAGTATCCATAACAAAAGCTGTTTACGAATTAGTGTCAATTGACCAATTAAGATTATTCCAACCCGCCTGCCGCAATCTCAAGATTCCTAAATCACATAAGTGGACACTGTAAAACCAAAGTGTAGGGAGACAACTGCCTCATTACATTAGATACACAAAACCAAAGCATTAATAATCCAATCACACCACACAAGAAAATGGTAATTAAAAGCCTGGATTAGTAGTAATTACCAATTACCTGTACTGCTATAGAGTTTGACGTACGTCGTGGGAACATCACCAAACCAATCACCCTCTTTTTCATTAACACATTGGACTTTCCATCACATTCACATCATAATTAATATCAGCGGAAATTAAATTACATCCCTTAATTCTCTTTTTTTTCTTCCCCCCGGGTAATTAACTAACCAACTAATCAAGCAAGAGAAAGAGAGGCGACGACATGAAAAAACTGTAGATTCTCGAGCAGCTCCTTGGCATGACACGTGGCACGCTCCTCCACCCTCAAAAACAGCTGCTCGCTCAGCTCCTCGCCGATGTGGGCGTCGACCAGCACTCCGGCCACGCTCCGGCAGCTGATGGCCAGGGCCCGGCCCACCTCGGCCGCGTCGTCGGGCCGGCTCACCACCAGTGGGCTTCCTCCTTTGAACACCTCCAGCTTGTTTATGTGGAAGGAGCCGTTTGCCTCTACTACGTCCTGGAATTCCTGTGAAGTCGGTGCGTAGATCGGGATGTTGAAGTTGTCGCGCTTCTCGCTGCTAACCAACCCCTGGAAAAAAGAAATGTTCATCGACGATGAAAATCGAGTAGCGAACTTCAATTGGGATAAGAAAAGCCCAATGGAATATTGGGCCGTAGTAGTGGGCTGGGCTCGCTAGTACCCAGCTCAAGGCCCATCCGGTTCAGAAAATTGGCAGTTATATGCTAATTATTTTTTTAATTCTTATTTGATTATTAAAATGCATCTATTGTCAGTTGATAATATTCTGATCCAACAATATAAATACCAAGTGACACAAGCACTGTAGCCAAATTGGCTGGATGTGACAAGTCACAAGATGCAAAAGCTGCAGTTTCCTTTGTTTTTTTAATCTCCATCATTATGTTGGGGATACAGTAGTTCTGGTAGGGGACCTGATATTGTTGATTCAATCTAGCGTTTTGTCAACTAGACGTAGCAAACGGACCCAGCAAGCAGCATGCTTTTGACGATATGACCATCTTAAATCGACTCAGGATTATTATTATTATTACTACGTACCAAACTTTGTCTGGCATGTTGTATGATTGGATCTTTCCGTTTTTGGCATGACTCTTTTGATAATTGAAAGGCAATTGCTATGATTAATTATAAGGTCATTTAATTTCCAGGCATGATGATGAAGTTGGGGTAGAGGCCGGTTATGCTAATTGCTAAGTTAGTTAGGTTAAGTACCTGTTGGACAAGGTGATTCCAGGCGTCCTGAAAGTGGGTTCCGAAGAGGAGGCCCGCCCCGCCCTGGTCGGTCGGGTCGGGCGAGGTCCGGCCCAAGCAGACTACGAACATGGTCCCTCCGATCTTCATCTCCGCGGATCTGGCCCGCAGGAAAGCTCCCAAGTCGGCCTGGAACTGCTGCTTGTACGCCGCCACGGTCGCCTCCTTGGCTCCGTGGATGAACACTCTCCCTCTGTTGTATGCACTTTGCCGCTTCTCCATCACGCCCTCCGGCACCTAATATTTATTAATAAAATGCGTATGGCTGGCGTCAAAAATATTATTATCCATTCCATTCTATTCTATAAACGTATTATGCTTCACGTATACTCCAACATTACCACTGCTGTTAATTTCCATTTTTATTTATTACCTGAGAGAGCCAGTGAAGGGAGAAAGCGGAGTGGAAGAAATCGATGGACCTCGCCGGAAACAGCCGCTTGTAGAACGACCCCGCCACACCCGCGCTATAGTACTCAACGCCCGCCACGCCGTCGCTGGGGAGGAGCTGGAAGAGGGTGTTGAAGTCGTTGCTGGGGAGGTCGGAGAAGAAAGCGGCGAACTCCGGCAGCTCCAGCCCCGCCGCATGGTATCGCTTCATCATGTGCTTGATGATCGCCTCCACCGTGTCCACCGTGTTGTTCCCCGACGAGCACCCCAGATCCACCACCTGGAATACGGCCGACTGATGATGGTGAGGTGGCGGTGGTGGTTGGAGGTGGACCAGGTCTAGGGTTTCTTCCAGGATGTGAACCACCGACCTTGCATGTAACGCCTGCCGGTGTACATGAAAACAGGTTGTCAACTTTACTTTTTTGAAGTTTAAAAGTTCACGTTTTTACGTCGTGTTACCTGTGCTTTGGAGTTGTTGGCGTAGCTGGATTCGCCCTGGCCTCCTTTCATGCAAAGAAGCTTCTCGAGCTTCATCATGTTCACGTTGACGACGACTCGGTTTTCTCCCTGCTGCAGAGCCATGGCTATCTGGTTAGGTGAGCTCAGTGAAGGGAGGTGAAGAGTTGTTAAATGAACGAGGTGTGTGTGGCTGAATGGTGAATTGTTGTTTCTATATATAGATCCATTTAGAGAGAGAGAGGGTGGTGTGGTGTGGCCGTGATTTGTTGAATTAACTGATTTGATCCCAATGGATGTTAAAAGAACGGGTTCTAACTGATTAACTGCTGCCACTAATGGGATTCCGTAGTGATCTTAAAAAAGTCAGTTAAGTTGAAAAAGACTACTTGTGTGTCTTAGAAAAGGTCAAAAGAAAAAAGGTATCCAAGTTATTTTTTTCGTAATTTCAAAAGCAAACATTATATTCAATTTATTCATTATGGTTTTTTTTCCGCTTCCTTTCTCACATGATCATTCTTATCCTAATTAGTACTATAAGATTGAATCGTATGCTTTTATGAATTTGTCGGTATTATCATGAGATAGAAATAGTAATTAATGGATAGATGCATGTGATATTTTTATATTAAATGGTACAAACCTAACCAAATCGGGTAAAGAATTCAAAATTTAAGTCATACAAAAATCAACATCTACCGTCTAAATTTAACCGTTAAGAGAAATAAAGAAGCATGATTTTTAAGCGAAACCGAATGAATTTTATATGATAAATTAAACAATGGACTTGAATGATTGTCTCGCTGTAAATAAGCAAAATCATGATCTCTCATTCTCTAGCCAATAAGGATGTAATGAAAGGATTAGGCTAGCATGCTTGTCAACGACTACTTAAAACGTTACACTTCTATCTTGCCATGTTGAAACTAATTGTTCTTATGACCTTCAAACTCGACACAGTCAGGCTTCTATCCCGTAATGATGTTTCATGATTGCTTCAACGTTACGAGAAAACATATATATATATATATATATTAAATGTAACCTCATGCAAAGGTAATTAGTAATTTCAGGTATATCTATAGCTAGCTAGGTAGAAGTTCAACTGTAAAATTTTGTCCCCGACGGAGGCGACAAATTGTGAGATCGAGTTGAAAGAGACCCGCAAATCTCGTCCCCCATTTGCTGCTTTTCTTCAGTCGTCTCCAACTCTATCGTCTTATATATAACTCTCACATACTATCCAATACAAAAGATGAAGAAGCAAGCAATGTTAATTCAGAAGTAGCGTGATAGTCGGCGGTTCACAAGAACCTAGAAAGCCCGGTCGACGGACCATATGGCCGGCAATGAATCCATGCCTCCGGCATCCGCATGTACTCTC